ATGACCATATTCATTATAGGGAATTTGCATCTGTACATGATATATCTTGATTCCTCTTTTTTTTTTTTTTTTTTTTTTTTTTACCATTCCCATCCCCTTTTCCAACCCCCTTCCCTTCCCTGTTCACAGAGCTTGGTTTTCATTTTATCCTTCTTTTCATATTTTTTCTTTCCCTTCCTTCCTTTCCTCCTCCCCACAACCTATTTAACTTTTCCTTTTGAACAGTTTCTTCCTATTTCATAATATCTATTGTGCATTTATGTTCTTATTCACATTTTCAGTTTCTCAGACCAGAGAGATAATGTGATATTTATACATGTGTGTGTATGATTTATTTCACTTATGATTATGTTCTCAAGGTCCATCCATTTAGCTCAATTTTATTTTTATTTATAGCCAAGTAATACTCCATTGTATTTAAAAAATATTTTTTATCCATTTATTGGTTGATGGACATTTGGGTTGCTTCCAAAATTGAGCTATTACAAATTATGCTGCTATAACTGTGGGTGTGCATGTATGGCTGTGTTATGATGCTTTTAATTCTTCTAGGAAGACACCCAGAAGAGGAATTGCTGAGTTGAATGGGACTGGTAATCCTAGTTCTTTGAGGAATCTCCACAGTGATTTCCACAGTGGTTGTACCAGTCTACACTTCCACCAACAGTGGAGAAGGATTCCTTTTTCCCCACAGTCCTGCCAGCATTTGTTATTGGTTGATTTCTTGATAATACCCATTTTTTTCTGGAGTGAGATATAATCTCAGCATTGTTTTAATTAATCTCTCGAATGACCAGTGATGCTGAACATTTTTTCATATATTTATTTGCTGTTTGTACTTCTGAGAAATGTCTATTCATCCCAGATGCCCATTTTTGGATTTGGCCTTTGAATTTAGAGGGTCTAATTTTTTTCAGTTCTTTATGTGTTCTAGATATTAGTCCTTTGAAGAACAGCTGGGATAAATTTTTTCCTGCACTGTGGGTTGTCTTCACTCTGTTGGTGATTTCTTTTGCTGTTCTTTTGCTGATTTTAGCATTTTTCTTTGTCTTGTACTTTTGAGTTTGACTGTGATATACCATGGTTAAAGGGTTTTTTTGGGCTATGTCTACTTAGAGTAATTTTAGCCTTTTATACATGGATGTCCATCTCTTCCCCAAGATTAGGGAAGTTTTTGCTGTTTCATTAATAGGCTTTCTGTGTCATTGTACTTTCCTTTCACCTTTGGTTATTCAAAAATATGGATATTTGTTCATTTAATGATATCCCAATGTTACTGAATGTTCTCTTCATTCACTCCCTTTAAAAAAAACTGACTAGGATATTGAGGAGGCTATCAATATGTAACATAACAACCATTGTTAATTTCCTATCACCTTGTCTGAGATTCTGTATTGCTTATATGGTTTTGGTTTTTCTCTGGTACCAGGAACCAAACTCACGACCTTGCGCTTGCCAGGCAGGTGCTTTTGCCGCTGAGCTAAATCCCCAGTCCTGTTAAGGTGTTTTTGTTCCTTTATTCTTAAAATTAAAAAAAAAACTGACTAGGATATATTGTTTCAAGTTCAGATATTGTTTCTTCTGCTTGATCTAGTCTGTTTTTCATGACTTAAACCATATTTTTCATTTTACTTTTTGAGCTATTCATTTCTAAGATTTCTGGTTTGCTGTTTTTCAAAATCTACTACTTTGATTAATTTCTCATTCATATTCTGCATCATCTTCCCGGTTTCCTTTACCTATTTATCTTCATCCTCTTGGATCTCTCTGAGCTTTTCTAGAATCATTCTTTGAAGTTTTTTTTTTTTTTTAATCAGACATTTTATTCATATCAGTCTCTCAGGGGGCAGGAATCTGTTGCTAGAGTTATTCTCTTCATGTCACTTTGGTTTTTCATGCTTTTTGTGCTCCTAGGTTGAGAGGTACACATCTACTAAGTCAGCTGTCTCTTCACTTTTATTGGTTGGCCTTTTTACTTAGAACCTTTGTCCTGAAAATGTGTTGCAGGGAGTTGGTTTGTTATGCAATATTAGCTGTATTTCTAGTTGGGTATAATAGTGTATTCTCCTTATAGCTTTTCTATGGGTATGATTAGTTACTTTTGGCCTAATGCACACTGAGGAAAAGTTGGAGAGACCCATCTTCTCTGGAAGCCATAAAGAGTGGGACACTCAAACAGTCCAGGCACATCTTCTCTCAGCCATCTTTTAATGGGGTATGTTTATGGGTTGGGCAAGAGCTAGGGCATGAGGTTGTATAAGGGCACCTCGCTGACCTTGTGGGTAGAACAGCATCAGCAGCTTTGGTGTTCTGTCTCCACCCTGCTGGTAACAGATGTCTCCCTTCTGAGAGCTGAGGTAGAGTTATAGAAACTGCATGTGCCTGGCTTCAGTCCATACACTGGTGAGTCAATGCATGACCTGCTATAGCCTTTGCCCCCGAGGACTAGCTTTCTGGTCTAGTTCTCAGGGAAGCATCCTCCTTCCTCCACCAGTTCAGAGCACCCATTCCCTACTGTATAAAGTGGCCAGCAAGCTACGTTACAGTCACTCTACGAGGCCAAGTTGGGTTCACAAGGCAGCCATCCCATGAACCAGTGCAGTGGAATGTCCGTGGATTCCCAGAAATGGGGACATCCAGAGATTTCTGACCCCTAGAGTAGTCGAAGTTCAGACAGATCACTTCTGAAGATGGGTCTGGACTGGGGCATCCCCGGTGTTCATGGGGAGATGATGTGAGACCCAGAAAGGTCCAGTTTCTGCCTGGCTGATTTCCAGTGTTCTCCCACAGTCACTCACCCCAGAATGCAGCTAATTTTTTTTAAAAACATTGGTTCTTTGTGGAGGAGGGGATGAGTGCTGGGTGCCTCTGTTCAGTGCCTTGGATCTCTGGGTTGGTTTTTAAAATGACGTCTGTCTCTGTTGAATTTCTCACTGAGATCATGAATTATTTTTATGATTTCACTGGTTTGTCTGTTCTCTTGTATTTCACTGTCCTTAAGATTATTATTTTGAGTTTCTTTGCAGGCATTTCATAGGTTTCCTTTTCTTCCAGGTCAGTTATGGCTAGTGTTACGCTTCCTTGCTTTTTTTTTGCTTCGTATTTTTGTCCTTGTGTTGGTCTGGTAGAATAACCATCTCTAGGCTTTAAAAAGTGGCCTTTGTAGGGAAAGACCTTCACCTGCAGGTAGGTCTCGTGTGGCAGTTGCAAATGGTGTGTTGGCTTTGATCTGAAGTGGACATAGTGGCGCAGATTCCGTATTCCATACGGAATCTTCATCTGTGATCCACATCAGCCACGACTGTGGGAACCTCAGTGGTCTAGGCTGTTGGGAATTGTGGGAAGCATAGATTAGAATCCTTGGCAGGGTTTATGGTTCTCCTTTTCTACATTTTTGCACAATGAGGTCTTATGAGACGAAACCTCTTGATATGTAGTCTAACATGGCCCACAAACATCCGCAGTGATGCTGGTTTTCAGGGTGCAAGAGCTCATAGCAGCTTTGGTGCCACAGCCCTTGACTGAGGGACTTGTGAACCTAATTGTGACCCCAGGGTTTGGGGTACAGGTTGGCTCTCTAATCCATAGTTAAATGTAGACTGCACACAAAACTCAGGTCTGTGACTCTAAGGTACCTCGCAGCAGTCTGGGCCCACAGGGTTGATTGAGTATGACTGCCATTTGGAACAACAGCCACTAGGCCACAGTGGCAGCTCCTCCTCCAGGGACTGATACACTGCACAGTGATGACTCTGGACCCTGGGACAATGAAACATGACAATATCCTAAACGGTGTGAGGCCAGTTGCAGTGGCAGCAAGAACAGCAGAGCCCAGCTGTCGACTGGGCTTGAGGCAGGATGGGAGCATCTCTCACATCTTAGGATCTCATTGCATCTCTGCTCCACCCTGTATTCCCCTCCATGATGTTGTGCCTCATCACAGGCCCAAAGGGGATGAAGCCAGATGACAATGGATTAAAACCTCCAAAACCGTGAGCCTAACACACTTTTTGTGCTGACTCGTTATCTCAGGTTGGCGGGCTCCACTGCTTTGAGACCCATGGCAAGGCAGAAACACCACGGCAGAAGGGCAAGGCGGAGGAAAGCCGCTCACCTCATGGCAACCAGGAAGCAGAGACAGGGAAAGAGGCAGCGAGGAAGGGGCTGGAAGCAACAAATAGTCTTCACACCACCCCCCTCGTGGCTTTCTTCATCCAACTGGGCTCTACCATCCAATAATCTCCCAACCATGCCATGATTTAGTAATCCGTGAGTGGTTTAGTCCACTGATGAAATCAGAGCTCTCATGAACCAATTACTTTCAAAATCCCTTCTGCTGCTAACTCAGCACCCAGTACCCAGCACCCAGCACATGGCCTTTTGGCAATATTCCAGAGCCAAACCAAAACAGCGACAGATTCCCAAGCACTAGCCATCCTCAATAAGCCTGGGGATCCCCAGCCATCATGATGGCTGTCTCTTGATATCAGACTTTGGTCAATTTCCTTCCCAAAGCCTCCAAAGGTCCAGGGACCAAATCACTACATCCTGCTTTGGAGCCTGGCCTGGCTTATCAGTTCATTGTGATGTTACAGCACAAGGCCAGGCTTTGGCCCAGTTTCCTCACTTAGTATCTGTGAAAATAAACACACAATGGCCAATCTGTAAAATGTGCAACATACCACAGAGGGATCATGGTCGGTTAAAAGGATTTAGCATGGTGCCTGTATGTATGAGGCTTCCTCAAACATTAGTTTCCATTTTCCCCTCCTAAACTAGGAATATAGAGTGTGTAGTTACACTGAGGGGGACTACAGAATCCCCAAGAACAGATATTTTCTGTATCTTGCCAGTTCAAATCAATTTTTAAAGATATAATTCTCCCAGTGAGAAAGTGAAATAAGCCATCAGTTCAGGGAGTACTGACTTGGTATCTTTTTATTTTCTTGAATCCTCTCAGGCTGTTTCCTTTGTCATTTACTTTAATATGGTCTCCACAGATGAACGAACATTGGAAAATGACCAAGAATCAAGACAAATCTGCTGGTTTGACTGGTTTGGAAGCAGTTTTAATGGAGATGAAAATGTTTCTTAACACAGGTACCCCCAAAATACAAATCAAAATATTATCTTCAGCTGCATAGCAAATATGATTTAAGAATTTAACATTATTTGATCACAAGCGTAAATATGTCACCATAAATAAATGTGAATTCATTGTACAAAAATCCCCGACAACTCTTAATACAAATATGGTACATTTAACAGTTTTTCAAACAGAATTTTAAAGTTTTTTTTAAAATCTAAGCTTTTTTCCTTAGACACATAAAAAAATCAAAAGGGGGTTAGGTCAGTAACAATGCTAGGGAGGAAAGAATTAAACTCGTCCAGTTTTCATAAATAAGTGCTGCTGATGAGCTGAGGAAATGACAATCTCGCTTGAAACTGTAAACCTCAATTTACTGGGATCAAATTACTTGAGGATAAGAGATTTTTTTCCCAGAGGGTCAACTCTGGGGTTATGATGCAGGGTGGGAGGGAGGAATTGCTGAAATGGCAATCTCATTGACTGGAGGGTGCCAATCTCTACAAAGCTGTGGTGAAAGATTTGGAATGAAATGTAGAACATAAAAACCTACTCATCTACCTGAAAGAGAGCCAGCAGTTTCCAGATGGAGTTGGAGGCTCGGAAGGCCTCAGAGCTTAGAGATTTTATATGGGTTTTGATGGCATGTTCTACCGCATCACTTTGCTATGTGGTATAGTTTCTGCTGCCTTTGGGATTCATCCACAGCCGTCCAGAAGCATGAGTATCAGGATAGGAAGTGGCAGTGTGAGGTAGGAGGATCTGCCACCTTCCATTCCGAGCCATCTTCCTAAAATGCACTTATATATTTCTGTCATTGCTGAGAAGTAGCTCAAGACCCACGGTGACCAGAAGAATTTCTCTACAGCAGTGGTTCTCAAACTTTGATGCACAATAGAATAACCTGAATAACTTGCGGAAAATGCAGATTTTATAGCCCTACTCCCAGAGATTGAGAGCTAGTAGCCTTGAGGTGGAGCGCAAAAACCTATACCCAAGTATGCTTATCTCAACAAGCTCTGGCTTAGGTGGCCTTTGGACCATACTTGACATGAGTGTATCATACAAACTTCTGGCTGTGGACATTTCCTTTGTTCATCCCGTGATTAAATACAAACCATCTGGCTAATGGTAACCATTTCATCTCTCCGAAGGGAGTGAGTCACTATTACTCTTTCCATTTTTTGCTCATTTCATTTCCTCCCTGGGCAAGATGTATTAAATATCCCACTTAACATGCTCTTTGAAGCTCAGGGCCAGACTCCAAAAATGATAAACCCTAGTGAGCATCCTGAAGGCCTCTTTTCCTAAAGATCTCACTACCCTGGGTGACTGAGATTCTACAGCAGAATTTTGGTTCAGTCAGGAAAATGGAAATATACCCCTGTGAGAGAATACAAACCCCAAAATCTAACTTGAGGAGCATTAGAACAACAGGAAGTTGAGAATAAAATGGACAATGGCAGTTCTGGTTCATTCTAATAAGAGTTCCCTGTGGGGGTATACTTTTACTCCTCATATCCTTATCCCCAAGATGTTTGAGGCCCCTGTTGAGACAGACCCATACTCTTTCCTGTGGGAGTTTTGCTTGATGAGAGATTCTGTGCCAGGCAGTTGACACTAATTTGGTCACTGGCTGAGGCTGTGGGAGCTCTCTGACCCGCTCGTTCAATGCTGCGCCCTCCATGTCCATTGCCCTGCGTGGCCCAGTGCTGAGCATTTACGCTGACGAGATGGTCTGACGGCTTTCTGTGCGAGGCTGAGGAATTCCTGGCTGAGCTCAGATGCTGCTTCCACACGGCAGGCCTGACTATCTTCCTAGCCCAATTCCCCTCAGTGGGATACAACTATAAACATTTCCGACTTTTCTCTAGGAGCTTTTCCTGGTTCACCATGGCCTTCAGCATCTGACAAAGCATATTCTTGGTGGCAGAAGTGGTATTTCTAACATCTACAGCAGGAGGTGCAGCACCATGGGAACTGGGGAGGAGGACCCAGAGAAGGAAGCCCGTGAGATGAGGCGTGGTGGGGGCAGGCTGACACGACATGGCCATACCCTTTTCTCAGTGTCTGAGACTTACTCCTAGGGCCACACGTGGGCACTGGATGGGAGGGCCTCTGGGGAGGAGGTCTTGGGGAGCAACCACAGATGTGGGGACTGTAGGATGAGACAGGGTGAGACTGGGGTCTCTTGAATATGGCTGAGGGAAAAAGAAAGAAAGCACACACTGCCCTGTTATTTTGTGTTCATTTACACTACAGAAAGACCACCATGGAGATGTCATGGGAGAGCATGCACAAGCCCAGCCCTGGGGGTGGTGCGGGTGTGTTTGGGGAGGTTCTTATTTGCTTCCGGGTCTGTCCCACACACTGTCCGGTTGGACCCAGTTGCAGGCTGACCACTGCTTTTTCTTTCCTGCGTCTCCTCCCACCTCCAGGTCGAGGGTCCGCCGGACCTCTGCCTAGCAGGTGGTGGCCAGGGACTGGTGGATGGGTGGTTGGAAGCAGCGCACATGCTCCACAGTGGAACTGTCTGTCTCCACGGACTTCATGTATTTGTTCAGGATGGCAAAAACCTCATTGTTCAAGATCTGGTACTTCCTGATCCGGTCGGCCATCTTCTTCAGCGGCTGTAAGAAGACGAGGATGTTCAGGTTAAGGTGGGAAGAACAGGCACAGAAATAAAGTGAGAGCAAGAGGAGGATTCAGTGAGGCTGGAGTCCAGGGCCCCAGTGCTTTAATGACTGTGTCACTCTCTTGCCTAAAGGCCTTCTATGGATTCCCAAATTAAATCTTGGCAACTTTTGAAACTTCTTACTAAGCTAGCATAATCAAACCAGTGTGGCACTGGTATACAGACAGCGATCTAGGCCAGTGGAATAGGTCAGACAGCCTAGAAATCAACCCTTACATATATGATCACATGATTTTCAACAAGGGTGCCAAGACCATTCAGAAGTGGGAGAGTCAATTTTTTCAATAAATGGTGCTGGAAAACAGGTTATCTACATAAAGAAGAATAATTTTGGAACCTAACTTTATAAGATACATAAAAATTAGCTCCAAGTAGATAAAAAGGGGTAAATGTAAGTGTTCTAACTATACAATTAGAAGAAATCAAAGTAACAAGTACTGATGAGGATGTGGTGAAATGGGAACTCTTAAGCAGTACTAGATGTACATTAAGTAGTACTAGTACATTAAGATGGTACTGTAACGATGGAAAACAGTACAGCAGCTCCTCAACTGACTGAATAGAATTATCGTGTGACCTAGCAATTCTACTTCCGAAATGAATGAAGGGACTCAGGTATTTGTACACCTGTGTTCATACCAGCATCATGCACAATAATTAACAACAGATGGATACAACCAAGGTGTCCAGCAGTAGGTTTTGTTTCAGATAAAATACACATATAATTACAATGAAGTATGATTCATCCTTAAGAGAAGGGAATTGGGACATATGCTGGAATATGGGTAATTCTTGAGGACATTGTTCTGAGTGAAATAAACCAAACATATTAGAAACCAGTATCCTGAGATCCCACTTACAAAAGGTACTCAGAGCGGTCAGTCATAGAAGTAGTACAGTGAAAAAAAAAAGGGCCGGGAATATAGCTCAGTGGCACAAGCGCCTGCCTGGCAAGTGCAAGGTCCTGAGTTTGAGTCCCAGTACCAAAAAAATAAAAGAAGAAATAGTAGAATGACAGTTGCCAGGGACTAGAGAGTTACTTTATAATAGGCACAGAGGTTCAGTTTGGGACTGGGAAAAACAGTTTTGCAATGTACTTACCATCACTAAACTGTGTGCCACTGGTCACAATGATAGACTTTATTTTCCACAATTTTTCTAACACTCTTTGTAAGGTGGCTCTTGGCGCTTTCTCCTCTGACATGGTCCCTGGTCGCTGCCCTGTGTTTTAGCCACCTGTCTGTATCCTCCATGCCTTTGTTGCAGCTGGCCTTTCTGTCTGTGGGGTCCACCCAAGCCCCGGACGCTATCTGCGGGTGGCCACTCGACTCAGCACCGGCACTGACCACCTTCTCCTGCTCTGTGTGTCTCTCACAACAGCCTCGCCTATCCAGGCTGGCACCTGTCCCATCCCAGGGCCCAGCTCAACGCTACGATCTGGTGAATGTGCCAACGAGGTGCCAGCCCCAGCAGCCTGCCTGTAACAGGGGATGGGTATTCCGGGTCAGGAGTCTAGTCCTGCCCTTTACGGAGACCTGACACATCTCAGAGGGGTATGAGCAGCGACTCATGGCCTCTTCCGGTTTCCAGCCACCAAGTGTCTGTATATATCCATGGCGTGGGGAGATGGCGTCCACAAGCAGCTCACCCTCCCCTGCTCAGATTGAAGCTGAGGTCAGGCCAGCTGCCCAGCCCCCAGCCCCACCCCTGCACCCAGCCCCAGACGGCTCACCACGTTCTTGATGATCTCATCCTTCCCGTCCTGCCTCTGCACTTTCAGCAGGTGGTAGCAGAAGTCGAACAGGTCAAAGCGACGCTGCTGGCCCAACAGCACGATGATGGAGCAGCCAGCCCAGTTCAAACCATCACCAAAACACTGCCTGGAGTGGGGGGAAGAGCTGCACTGAGGGCCCGGGAGGAGGGTCTTCCGCTCGGGGCGGCAGTGCAGCAGTGAGCAGGCCCGCCTTTGGGCCAAGACTCTTATTCTGGAGAATGGGTATGAGGGAAGCTGAGAGGTGGATTCATTTGCTCCAGGGTCTAAGCCCTTCAAACCACAAAGAGGTGTTGGTCCTGCTGAGGTAACAAAAAACCAGTCACCTTTGAAAAAAGAGAGGCGTTTACAAGGAAAAACATCCAAGCAGCCCTTGAGATTTGGGCAAGTTGAAGGAGGCTTGCGCTGGACTCTGCGAGGAGGAGAATCACGCAGGAGCAGGCTTGGGAGGAAGGGATGAGGGCGGGGAGCCGCTGCTACTGGTGTTGGGGGGCTGTGAGTCCCCTGGGCTCTGACAAAGCTCTGACTGTGGGCCCCAAGTCGCAAGAGATGTGCAGGTGGCCGTGAGGTCAACCCTCTGCGGTCTGTCTTCTCCTCAGCCCTGCCAGGCTCCCCCCTTCCCCATACCGCGCTGAAGTGTGCGCCTTCCCATCCCTGTCGTCCCAACACTGCCCCCTCGGGACAGCCAGTTTCTCTCCATTAGTCTTGGCCTCTGGAGGGCAGGCCTGGTACCTTCCTTACCACTCTGTCCTTGATAACCCCCTGGCTAAGTGCAGGAAGAATGGGACCCTGCTTCTGTCCGCTTTGGGGACAAGACTGGAAGACTCAGAAGGGCCCTCGTTTTCCCGAGCAGAGCTGTGTGGGAGTGAGGTGGGCAGTGAGATTCTTCGTGCCGCAGCTCACTGGGCTCCTTGCCTGTTCGCTCAGCCCAGTGCCCCGTTTTAGAAAGAAAGCTCCAGACTCTCACCCCAAAGGGGCACTCACACACACGCTGCTCTCTGCCTGTGGCTGGCGGCTGCCTTCCCCAGAACGTCTCCTTCTTCCTGCTGAGTGCAATACCGGGCACTGTGGGAGGCTCAATTCTATCAGTCTGTGAACTAAAGTCTGATGACCCATTCACCTCTGTTCTCTGCCATCTGTCCTTTCTTCCTGCAAAAACATCTCATGTCTAACATATCTTCATCGTGGCACCCTAAGCTACAGAAGGGCAAGAACTGTCCTTCTGGTCAGCGCTGCTGCAGGTCTAGCCCCTGGCACACCACAGATGCTCTCAACAGAACAACTGCTGGCCAGCCAGGTCCCTACCCACATTCCTGGCTGAATTCTAGTACCCCACTGGCTCTCTCGGGGACAAGTAGGTTGGTGGGTGGCTCTGCCCTCCCCGGAGGTACGTACTCAGCTGTGAACTCGTTGGTACCCACGGGGATGCAGTAGACGAACTGCATGGCACTCCACAGCCGGTGGAACTCCACGCACTCATCCACGTGCATGACGCCATTGGTGGGCGGCGGGCCCCGCCAGATGGGGTCCTGCAGGTAGCTCCGAATGCGCGTCAGGATAACCTCGAACATGGACAGGCCACAGCACAGCCTCTCCTTGGTCAGCAGGTCGCCTTCCCGAGCGATGGCAATTTGCTGGGAATAGAAGGATAGGAAAACCTTTGATCTACATCTGTGATCCCAGCTGCTACCTCGCCATAGAGGTTCCCAAGCGGTGAAGCCAGCTGTGCTTGGAATTCATTTATCAGGCCTGCTGTCTCCCCCACAGTCAGATGTACCACAGTCTGGCTTGTGGTATGTATAATACAGGAGCCATTTGTAGAGAAATGATGATTAAAAACTATGATCTAACCCAGCCATGAAATGGTAGGTAGGTATTAAATCTGAGCGGATACTATCTGTACTACCGTACTGTTACTATAACTAGTTCATACTCACAACGTGTAATATACCACCAGTTTCTTCTCTCAGCACCTGGTGGGTACTGACACTGTTCAATCCCATATCATTATTATCCCCATTTCACAGATGAGGAAATTGAGGCTCAGAAAGGCAGCCAGTGCGAGCTAAAACCAAGATCTGACTCCTGGTAGTCTAGATCTATAGGTGTTAACTGTAAAGTGAGTGAACAGAGCAAGCTGCAGAAAATGATGTATACTACAATCCTCTTTAAAAAACCCACACACAGTTCCACAGACAGACGAAAATAGACGCAGACATGGGCTATGTGTCTGTATGTAGAAACATTTTAGATTAAAATCAGTTGTGGGAGCAGATGGGCTTGGGAAATGGTGCGATTTGCTATTTACTTTAAATATATCTGTACAGCTGAATATGCAACAAAGAGCTTATGTTAATCCTTTAAAATTTGCCACTGACTTCATAGAATCATTTCCTCTAGTTGGAAATCTTTCTTTGGCCAGTGCATGCGATCTATATTAATAATTTAAACTCGTCTCTCCTCTGGGTTCTGGTTACTGTGCATCTAATGATTACATGGCGGGCAGGCACATCAAAACGCGTTACCTGTGCATTATGAGAAAAATACCTAAGCGGAAAGTTGCTGAAAGTTATCTACAAAGCAAGATAAATATTAAGATCTAAGGTCAAAGTCAGGTCTCCTGGTCTGGGGATCACGCTACAGGGAGCTAGCTGGTTTCTGATACACTCACAGCATCAGCACCGTGGGGCAAGGATTTGCCCAGCCAACCAGCCCCTGCGAGCTCTCTCCCTGAAGCTCCCCAAAGAGGGGAGCCTCTAAGTGACCCCGTAGAGAAATCAGGAAATACCAATGCTAGAGACTCATGAATGTGGGCCACGAGTACAGTTGTCATGACAACCATAAAGTCAACGAAATCTGGGGAAAATATGAACTGGAAAAGTTTTCCAATGTGTGTTTTTAAAATTTTTTTTTTGTCTTTTTTTCCGGTACCAGGAATCGAACTCACGACCTTGCGCTTGCCAGGCAGGCGCTTTTGCCGCTGAGCTAAATCCCCAGCCCCCTTGATTTGGTTCTTACTCTTTGTTCTTATCCTGTTCTATCTGCCCCCAAAAGGGTTTGCCACATGAGAAAGACTGCAAAGGTAGCTGCTCGGTAAGAAAAGGTCTCAAATTTGTTCTCCAGTCGTGAACTTTCCCTCTGGCAAATAAATACAGAGGGCCGGTGTGCTACATAATGTGTGTTTCTGCTTAATCTGCATGAGTCCTCAGGGCCTGATAATTTTGGGTGTCAGCCTAGGAAAATGAGCAACCGAATTCATAAATCTGCAGGCTGACTTTGAATTCTACTGGCTCCAAACACGGCAACCAACGGAAGGAGCCCGGTTCCTTTCCTTTGGAAGAGTATTTACCCTTCACAATTCTATGAATTATGACAGTAATAAATTGCCTCTGTGTGAAATTTTGAAAAACTTCTAAATTACAAACATTTTAAGGAAAATTAAAATCCTTCATTTATCTCATCACCTAGAGATAAGCCTTTGAAAAATGGTGATACATGAATATTGTTTGTGGTTACGTGAGCATGCTTATACATGTACAACAAAATTTGGATCAGACTATCCCTAGGGCTTTTTAACGTTAATATATCAGTAATTTAAAAATTCACTTCCTTCCAGTATCATGAGTTCTAATGGTAACATAAATAACCTTTGATATATCCATTTATTTAGTCCTCTTATTTTAAATTGTTAACAAATTTTTACTACTGTGGAGAATTCTAAAGCTGCTATCCTTATATACACAAAATTCTGGGACCCTATGAGTGTTCGCGTCGTTAGGATAAATTCCTAGTAACAGATGGTCAAAAGGCTTTTTTTCCTTTGTAACACAGTCCCATATAAGTCTCAATTATTTTTGCTTTTTTTGTTTTTGTCTATGTTGTATTTTACTTTTGTTCTTTTTAAATTACTCTCTTTAAAATTAAAAAAATAAACAATAAAATTACACTTTTCTTAAAAAAAAAAGAAAGAAAAGCTTGAAGCACAATATATGTACTGGTGAACCCCATTCCTTGTCTCCCATAAATACTATTTTTCATTAAGAAAAATTTCATTAAGAAAAAACCTTTGCAAGCTTGAGAGATGAAAGTGTATCCTGTGAGTCTGGGTCTGCAGCTCACGGATTACAGGTAACCCTGAGTGCTTCTGCTATGTTTGTTGGCAGTATATATTAGTTTTCTTTCATGCTTGCTTTTTTTAGGGTATATCTATCACTTTGTGTTGAAAAAGTGTTTTATAGATTGTTTGCTACAAATACGCCCAGTGTGTGGTTTGGTATTTTATCTATTCTATATTGGGGGGGTGGTTCTCTCTGAAGTAGTTTCTGCGTGGAGCCGTCTGATTACATTCAGAGCCCTTTGGAGAAAGATGGCCATCTCAACACCCCTGCTTTATATGATCCCTTATCGTTTTTGGAATTCTTATACTATTCGTTCACTGTAACAATTAAGAGAGGCAGCTCAATGAAGGAGGAAAAACAGCTATTCCATTCCTTATGTGGGTAAACAAAACCCGAGACATTAAATGGTTCTTACGAGACTGTGCAGTAGTAGGAGGGGGAGCAAGAGACAAGACCCACTGCCCTTGGACTCCCTCAGTGTTCTTTTCGAGTAATGCTGGACAACAAGCCAGGTCACCTCAATTTGTCTCAGAAATAAAAGCAAACAGTGCAGTGCTGCTCAAACGTTTTTGCTTGAAATACGCCACATGGACCTAGATAATAGCTATCTAGACAGGCTGCCCTGACACTGATGTCTGAGCAGGACAGAGAACCTAGTTAGCTGGGAAGTACTGCTTTTTTGGTTTTGTTGTTTTTATTTTGCCTGTTGTCTATGAGATAGCTGTTTCATTTCATGTTTTAATTAATGTGTATCACTGGTGTGTATTCACAGGATTCAGCGCGGAATTTCCATATATGCACACGGCACATATGGATCCCCGTCCCTGGAAGCCACTATTCTCAGCTTGACTGCTTTTCAGCTTTAAAACTGTGCCTTGAGAAATTGGGGACTTATAAAACTGGCATTTCCTCTCTCCTGGAATGTCTAGGGTTGTGTTTGTTCAACACTCAGCATTTGACAAATAGAGATTTCTATCAGTTCCGAGGAAGTGGTGTTCGCCAGATCAGGGAAGGAATTCACAGTCCTCTAAGTGGAAACACATGCTAAGCCTTGGGCTCAAGAAGCTGGATTCCTGCAGGATGACACCAGCTGAGGAGCAGGCGCATAGACATGTTGCTGGCGTGGGGGATTTCTCCCTAAAAGGAAATCATTTGAGAGGATCTCCTCTGTTCAACTCCAGGGACCCAGAAAGGCAAGTGTGCATACTCCAGAGCACCTCGGGGCTCTCTGCAGGGAGCAAAAGAACATAAACTAGCTCAGTTCTCAGTCGCTATTTTCAGGCTGGTAGCCTTTGGGGCCCTTAAGGGCAACACCTGTGCAGACGGGCTCCGCATGGAGCTCCCAATCCCTGCCCTGCTGTGCCTGAGCGGAGGCTACTTTCTGCCCTCTGCAGATAATGTGATGGCCAATTCCAGAGTGGATTAAATCCTATCGCTTCTCCACAATCTCATCTCGCTATGGTGTCTCATTTCTCTTCTTCCGGAATCCTTCCTCGCCTTACCCCTCAGCTGCAAAGCTTGCTGATGTCAGCATGCAGGGAAGCAGCATGTTATGTTGCTTCTTTCTCCCCACTTATTTCTTTCTTGCTCCTTCCTGCAGACTCTGTGACTTCTCTGCACACAGGGCCATGTTTCCTCAACTTGTGTTCACAACAACTGCTACAGGTTTTGCAAAGATAGTTTTTAATTGCAGACCTAACATGGATCCATGCACCTTTGCAAATATCCTAATATTACAGATGAGGCTGAAGTCACCTTGGATTCCCTTCCTCCCCTCAGCCACTGTTATCTCTGGTCAGAGGTTGCCGCCGAGGTGTGTGTGTTTCAGGGAAACTTTTACTCATGTTTTTGAGGTGTGTTGAAAAACAACGGCATCATTATGTAGTGCAATTTGCTTTATACACACAACTGTGTCTAAGATCTACACACACTGAACAATGCATCTAGATCTAAATTTTCCTTTCCATTATTGCACACAAGTCTCAATGTTCAGGTGATTATACCACATTTCATTAGCATCTTACTGACGGCCATGAAGTTGTTTTCAGTTTTTGTGTCAGCAACTTTGTGCACATACTCTTCTCCCGTTGCTGTGTCTCTAGTAAAAATACCCAGAAGGGACCTGTTGCCTCAGAGCGTGTGGGGTTTTAGTGCTGAGAGACAGTGCAGCAGAATCCTCGATATCTAGCAAGGGTGGAACAGATCCTGTTCAAATGAGCTGGCTGACTCCTTTCTTAGCACGACGTAGGATATAACATGTGCAGAAGACAGAACTCACGCCTGAGGGTCAGGGGATCTCCTTCTGGACCTGTTCCTGCCACGAACCGGCTTTGTAGTACTGCATACTTTCTCCCCTTTCCTGGGCCTCAGGTTCCCTATCTGTGACATGAGCAGGTTGGGTCATACTTTCTTCCCCTTGGGGTCCTCGGGATCTGTGAGAGAAGGTTCATACCTGAGGGGTCCCCAGTCGCTCTATCAGGGGCACCAGGTGGAGCGGGGCATACTTGGCTTCCAGGCGCTTCATCCGGACTTCCAGGCGCTCCCCCTCTGGAAAGGAGCAACGGAGCAGAAAATGAGATCTGGGGCGCACTGGAGGACTGGGAGGGAAACGCTCTCAGAGAGACTGGGTGATGTGGCTGTATCTCCTGACTCGGATGGAGCACACACAGCTCACTTCTTGGGTTCTGAAAAATGTGGCGAGGACTCAACACAAGGACACCTCTTCTATGAGCTCTGTACAGTCCTGGAGGCCTCTACCCTGGGAAGGTGTGAGTCTTCCATCGCAGGAGGAAATTAAACCAAGATGTGGTGCCTTGCCTGGGACTCTCTAGAAGGAACAAGACTTAGAGTTCCATTCCAGTCCTGTAATTCTGTAAGTGAATTCCACTGGTGCCTAGAACTTTGCCCTCCTCTGCTGACTGCAGGGCTGAGTTCAGTGTGATTAGGGAGTGGAAATCGGGCGTGGAGGCACACACTTGTAATCCCAGCCTCTTACAGTCTCAACTCTAAGAGGCTGAGGCAAGGGGATTGCAAGTTTGAGCCCAGCCAGGGCAACCAAGCAAGATCCTGTTTAAATTTTTTTAAAAAAGGTGGGGTGGAGTGCTCGGATGTAGCTCAGTGCAAAGGCTCTGGGTTCATTCTCCATGGCTGCAAAACAAACAAACAAATAAACAAACAAAAACCCAAAATAATACAAAAAAACCTCACAGAGTTTAATTCATCTGCTGAGTGCTTCTTACCTTTGATGTAGACTCGAGGCAGGATGTTTTGGAAGGGTGCAGCATGGAGCAGATCACAGACTTCCTCCTGAGACTGAGAGAGACCGGGAGAGAAAGAGAAGCAGTTACCATTTTAACCCAGGAAGAATTTTTACTCCTAAAAACCGGAACACTAGAGTCTGCCAGACCTGGGTTCAAATAGCCAGTTACTGAGCCTGTAGGTCTCTTTATTTATCAGCAAAATGAGGATGAGCACAGGACCTCTTTTCATGTGGTGTTGCAGCATTAAACGAAAGAATGTGTAACCTCAGAGCACAGTCCCAGGCACGCGAGAGCTCAGTATGCTTTTACTATAATCCTATAAGGCATTTGTTGAAAAATCAGGATGAATGACAGATGGCTCAGAGAGACAATGAGCCGCAGACTCTGTCTCTCTGCTTGGTTCTGAGGTCTGCAGGGTTAGGGGAGGAGGCTGGCCCAATCTTCCAGTCCATTAATCCGGAATAACTGTGCAAAAGCCCGTGTCTGATTAGTCTGGTTTTCTCAACGCCAGACGCCAACTAGTAAGAGAAGACAAATTAGAACACAAGTCAGACAGCATTTGATAGGGATTATTTACGTATAGAAGTCAGCTTATGAGTAATCATAAGCAACAATGTTTGCAGGAAAAGGTTGGGTTAGGGCAAAATGGGAGATAAGGTCTAATGGGCTTATTGTCCTGGGACCAGCCGACAGCTGGATTTCAGAATGAAGGGCCTGGCTGAGTCACCCTCCTCTGGGGCTTGCTTTCTCATCTTTAAATTGGGTATTCACAGTCAGACAGACCCAGGCTCCATTCAAATTCGGACAGTGTGGGATTCCAAGCACCTGAACACATCACAGCTGGAAGGGCTGGGGGTTTCTTCACCACATGCAGGGATCCCTCCCATCCTGGGAATCCGGAAGGCTGGGTGCTCAACGGGGGAACCCTTAGTCTCCTTTTTGAAGACTGCAGATCTGTTTTTGAAGTGAGGATCCCACATGGAAGCTACTCTAAATTCCTTTCCGAAGGACGTGCCCGGTCTCATTGGAGTTCTCAGTTTGTCAGAGGGGAAGCTCCCACTTTTTAAATTACGCTGTTTCTCTCAACACCAGGGAATTGCACACCTGGTCTTCACTGCTACGTCGAGGCTTAGATGCGTCACATAGCTTGCGAACTGGCTTAGGGGTCATGGGGTTTATCTTTCATATGCACAGCGTGAGTTACACAGATTGGCTTTTGAATGATGAGCCCAGCCTTGCATTGCTGGGGTAAAGCCCCTCTTACGGTGATGTACTGTCCTCTTTATGTCATTTTTTAAGGGTCATTATACTCACGAGGGATACTGATTTGTAGTGTTCGTTTTGGACAATTTCGTTTGTTATTTTTCCCCCCTTACAGTGAATTTTGGAGATCTGTGTCTCTGAAGGACTTGGCTGCATTTGTCTAGGTTTAATTTACAGACAGAGTTGTTTGTTGTACGTCTTTATGACATGTCTGTAGCGGTATAACTCTTCCATTACATGTTTTCTTCTGGCTTTTGGCCCTCTATTTCATCATCCAGCTAGGGCTAGCGGCTTATCCCCTTCCCTCTGAGAACAGCTTTTAGTTTCATTCCTATATTTCTGTTTTCACTGTTGATTTTTGCTCTTGGCCATTCCCCTCCTTCGGCTTGACTTAGGTTTAATTTGCTCTTCTTTTTCTAGTTTCCTAATACAGAAGCCTAGATCTCCAATTTGACACCTTTATTGTTCTGTAATGCGACATTCAAGCTATTTCTCCAAGCCTGTAATAATCAAGAGCCCGTCCTTCGGGAGCCAGCCACTCCACTTCTGAACTGTAACGGTCAAAAAATTTTGTTCTGCCTTAAGCCAAAGCTGCCTCCCCATAGTTTCCGAGTTGGATCCTTGGTTGGACTTCAGAGCATCAGTGAGTGTGTTTTTCTAGTCAGCACCTTCAATCACCCTTCTGAGTCTCTCCTTCCCTGCGGGACTGAGCACCCCATAAGAGCATCCTAAATCTCTGTCCATGTGCTGGTCTTTACGTCCTTCCTCTGCAGAGAGAAATATGCACAGCAGCCCCACGACGGTGCACTGGCTCTAGCAAAGATTACTAGGAACCGCTGTCACTGGGTTCAACAGACACCGTGGTCTTCATCCTGCACCGTGTCTCTAAAGGACGAGGCACTGTCCTTGTCAGCTACTGGAAAACATGTTCTTTTCCTTCCATCACTTTGCCTTCTCCTTTTTAGCATCCTTGCAGGTTTTCCTTTTGACCGTCCCTTACACGCTGGTTTTCCCTTATTCTGTCCACCTGGCTTATCTTACCTGCTCCCATGAACGAGATGCCACTTGCCTTCGACTCGCCAAATCTGTACTTTCATCCAGACCCCTCCATCACATTCCAGATACTCAGCTCCTGATAACACCCCCAGGTGGATATTCCCCAGCTTGACATTTCTAAAAATGACCTCATTCCCAAGTCTCCCGGGGGTCCTTGCAAGACCATGTAATCTGTGTCCTGTTGGTTTTAGTCTCCTGATTCTTCGCACATGAATCACAGCACTATGAGCTCAAGGCGGAGGATGGTATCTCTATTTTTGTCTCTCCCTCCCATTAATAACTTGTACGCATAGCACACAACAGCTTCTCAATACTTACTTATTCAATGAGTGAATGTCTGTCACCCCGTGAGGAAATGAATTTATTTGTCCACACGACAGCCTTCCAAGTATGAGAAGGCTGGTAAGCATCCACTGCCATTTATTTAACAAATACTGATTAAGGACAGGCACTGTTCTAGGCTTCCCAGCTATGCTGTCAAACGAGTTAGCCTAGATCTTTGCCCTCATGGAATTTAACTTCTGGTTGACAGAGACAAATAAAAACAAGTAAACAAACGAGGTTTCAGATAGTGGTAAAAGCGCAGTAGGGCAACAGGCTAGGGAGTGACAACCACTGGAAAGGGATGTTAAGAAAAAAAAATCTCTGAGGGAACGACAGCTGGCTAGAGAATGGAATGAAGTAAGGAAGTTCATCACGTGGCTATGAGGTAAGGACATTCCAGTGCAAAGGCCCTGGGGCAGAGAATAGGCTAGAGAATAAGGATGAGGGAATTATAGTTCACACAGCAGATCTTAAAAAAGATGGGGGTCAACCAGATCATGTGGGGCCTTGTGAACACAGTACTGACTTTGGATTTTATTTTAAATATAATGAGGGACTACTGAAGTTGTTCCAAGAAGAGGTCTGGTACACAGAGCCACTGCCAGGTACTCTTGTCTTTCTCTCTTTGAAAAATTCTGGTTGCTCCTAGAAATGCCTTGTTGCTAGAAGGCTGCCCCTGTGTGATCTGCAACTTGCTATTCAGTCAGTATGGGTGAACGGATCATGGGCCACGTTGGAGGCCAGAGGAACTGGATGACGGCCCCAAGTCTCCACCAGAACAGTGCTAGATCCCCGGCCCATGTCCTCTGAACAGACTGTGTAGCTGCTTTGTTCATTTGACAGGATAATCTTTGGAGGAGATGAGAATGCTTCACTTACCCCCTCCCAAACCCTCCGCCCGCCAAGTTTGCAAATTGCAGCCCCAGGGAGTCTTGGGGGAGCTTCTTCCTTCCTGTACACCTTCTCCACTTGTCTATGGAGGTGAGACAAGGATGTGGCTTCCTAAAAGTGGGCAAGCTTTTGCCTGGGAGCTCCCACAGGACGAGCTCACAAGTCTGTTTACATTGGAGGCGGCCACACCCTCTGTGACACCTTCTGCGCAAGGCATCTGGCTCTCCTCAGCTGAGATCATTGGCTAACGGGGCATGCACCAAGGACTGTATGAGGGCTACGGACCAGCTTCCACTGTGGAGTCTTGGCCAAGGCTGAGATCTGACCATTATCCTATGAGTCCACCTGGCTCTTCCATTCGGCCTAGGAACCATCAATCAGGCTGTGTCCTGTGAAACAGGGTCCTTATGTGGCCTGTAAAGCCCGGAGCCTGGGCTCCTCTCCGGCTCACCCTGGCTCTGTAGGTCTAGCCACAGCAGCTTTCTGTCCTTTGTTTGTTTTTTTTTTGTACCAGAAATCGAACTCAGGACCTTGCACTTGGAAGGCAGGCTCTATGCCGCTGAGCTATATCCCCGGCCCATGTCCTTTGAATAGACTGTGTGGCCAGTACTGGATCTTTTTCTCTGGAATGCTTCTAATCCATCTCAATCTCCGCTCCTGTGCTTGGTAAACATCATTCCTTAAAAAACACCATCCTGACCCCTCAGCACCTGGCTGCCCAGGGAGGTGTCTTTGCTCAGTGTCCTCAAAGAATCTTCGCATGTAGCTCAATCTGAGTTCAGTCTAGAGCAGATGGCAAACGTTCTAGGGCTTTCAGTGTCAACAGCCTGCTGCAACACAGGTGCCATAGGTTCGCCACCACTGGTCTAGACTGTGTATTCCTACATGTGACTATCTGATCTTCCGCAAGTGCCTCCGTGTCCTCATCCACAGAGTGGGACAGTGAGCCCTCCCTCTAAAGCAGAAAGCACAGAACAGACAGAAAGCGCCCGGCACACGGTTACTGCTTGTGAGCGCTGTTTCTGCTTCCCTGAACAACAAAGCAATTACGCCTGAACTCTGTTCTAGGGACCACATTGTAATTTACCTTGCATGAAGGGAACAACAAAACCCACTTTAACTCCGTTTTATCCCCCTAAGTGAGCACTGCGCCTAGTTTACAGTACCTGCTCCGTAATCACACGGAACAAAAGTTGACTCTGAGGTACATAAGGGAACACGACTTAGAGCAGAATCTTTCCTGCCCTAGGTTTTCCTAAAGAGGTCTGGGTGCTTTTACTTATTAATGAGGGAACTATTTTTCTCTTTAATTGTACTGATGAGTCTATAGGAACCATGTGAAATAGTTTTAACAAATGTTCCTGTAGTGAGATTTTCTGGTGTTTTAAACTTTCCAACCCACTCTGCCTCCCTCCCTGTTTCTGCTATGTGTAGCTAGGTATTTACACTTCATTTGGAAAACCTGAAAGCAGCTGATTCTTCTTCATTTCAAAATGAAAACCTTCTGGACTCAGCTGCAGCAAGCACAGAGAAGGAAATGCAATCCTAGCATGCAGCTTGGTCCACAAGGAATACTATTTGCACAGGCTTAATGCAAATGGAATTTGTTTTTGCTTTTAGGCTACACTTAAGGATGAATCCCAGATGCGGAACAAAATACAAATATTACTTTAAAATACAGCTGTGATGATATAAAGGGCAAAGTGCCACTGACCAGCGAGGAAGTGTCTAGAGTGTTAATTTCCATGGTCTTTCAGTCTTTCATGGGAAGGATCAAGATACTAAATCATTTAACGAAAGGAGCAGAAGTGTAAGGGCACTGTCTGTGATTACAAGGGGCGGCAAGGGAAACAGAAGTAGAATCAAATATTGAGAGAAAGAGAGAGGAGAGATAGAAATGAGCTGAAATCCCAGCTTTCCAACTAGGGAGTCAATAAATATCATCTGCAATTGATAATTACACAGTGGAAGAAGTCATCCTCGGATGAAGAATTATAAAGATAGCAGCTAGAAGCACTGACACAGAAAGATTAAGACAGGCTCCCTCAGGGGTTGTGGTGCAAGTGAGGAGATGTGTATCCAACCCCAAGGATGGTATTTTCTATCAGAAGCTCATTTGTGTTGCTTCATTTGTTATTATGTGTAATTAAGAACAACTTAAATGGAACAAAATAAAGTCGTTGTCTAAATACACTAGGCTCTAAGGGTCCCTAGAACACAGTGTCTACATAACTGCTTTGTTGTTCAGGGAAGCAGAAATAGCACTCACAAGCATTAACCATGTGCCAGGTGCTTTACATGTGTTCTCTGCTTTAGAGGGTGGGCTCACTGTTCCCACTCTGTGGATGAGGACCATCGAGGCACTGGATGAAAATCAGGTCCACAAAACTAAGAAGTACACGGTAAGGCTGGTGTTTAGGTTCACGGCCACCTTGTTGAACATCCATCGTTTTTCTGATGGCAGCACATGCACTCAGGCAAATACCATGGCTTAAATGTCTGCAACAAAATTCTGTTGTGACGAAATCCTCAAAGTTATATGACAATGGTTTTCGGAAGGGACCTTTGAGAAGACATTTGGAAAGTGGCAGAGCCCTCATGAATAGATTAACCTGCTGCAGAGTGAGTGTTATAAAAATCACCTTGGCTTTGTCTATAGTATGAAGCCCCTTGCCACAAGATGCCCTGTGCCATCTTGGAGTTTCCATCAGTAAGAAGGTTCTCACCAGATGCAACCCTCAGCCTTGGACTTCCCAGCCTCCAGAACTGTAAGAAGTAAATGTATTCTCTTTATAAACTACCCAGACTCAAAAGCACCAGAAAAGAGATGTAAAACAGGAAGGCTTGAAATATTTTTCCCCTCATTATACACACGCATTAGGAAAACATGAAAATTATAAAAAAATAGGAACAAGAGAAAAATCTAAACTTTGCAGTCTTACTCATGTCTGATAGGGTGATAACATTGTTTAAACTTAACGGGGACCTGTAGATGCAGTCTGAAAAATGACAGGAAATTTCTGATAGCTCTGTTCCCAGAGGTGACCTCTATCTTGAATTTGTGTAAATACCTTCTTTGCAGTCAACTAATTATTACAGATTCCAAAGTACTGAGACCACTCATGTGGTGAACTTACACCTCCCCGTCTTTTCCATCCCACAGAGCTCTATAGAAATTTCACCGTCTTGGAGTCTGCCCCGAGCCCACCGTGCTTTTTCAACCACTGAAAGTGATTAGAGCCCTCATCCATCAGAGCCCCCAGGAAGCTGTCTGCAGACAAACTGTCCTTCTGGTGAGAACCGGGGCCGTGAGCCACACTTCTGCTTCCAACCCAGGCAGAAAGAGTTGTCTTAGATGGACCACGATGCCTACTGCCACACTGCATCTGACAAGAGGCTGGTGAGAAGCCCATAGAGGCCGTGGGGATAACAGGGCAAACAGTGCCAGAGTCTGGGCATTTGTACTCTATGACAGTGCTTGAGCAGGGATTAATTCTTCTATTTACACTTCAGGTAATAAGGATCTGCTGCACTCGAAGCTCTCTGCGAGGTGCTAGAGACAGAACAGCAGGTATGGCGGGCGTGATGCATGGTACAAGGACAGCAATGACGCAGGTCATTCCAGCAAGAGCTACACTTGGGTACGCAGGACGGCTGTGGGCAGGGGAGTGACAGGGAAGGCGTTCTGCAGAGGGAATGCTAAGCAGAGGCCTGAAGCAGGGTCAGTGTTGGGCAGGTGAGGGCAACAGCACCTGTGAGGCCTCCGAGCATTGAAGGCTATGGTGGGGCAGACGCTGACTTCCAAGGCTGACAGTCTCCCTGACAGAGGAAGGGACGTGAGATGCAGAAGGCAGACTGGAAAGACTTGTAAGGCTCACTGAAGTGTTGACACGTGGTCCTCAATCAAGGAAACGTCATGATCAGATTGCAGTTTTACCCGCTAGTTGCAAGGGAGAGAAAGACACGAGGGAGGAGAAGCGGGTACTGAATAATCCAGGCAGGAGAGCGGGGCTAGGGGTCGGAGCAGAGGGGACAGAGAGGACGGAGCAGGTGCCGCAGACCTGATGACACAAGAACATGGCGAGCGGATCAACACCCACACGGTGAGCCTCTGTTCAGAGAGGGAGAGGACACAGGAGAGCTGCCATCACACATGAGCAAGGGAAATCCCACGTCAGTGCAAAGCCAAGAACAGCTGTCTAAAAGGCATCTGGATAGAAGGTCTGGGTCCCTGTGGAGTCTGGGAATGAGATCTGACCTCCAGAATCAGCAATACCAGGAAAGAAACTGATCCCCGAGGACAGGAAACACACAGGCGGTGGGTACGTGCAGGAGGGTGCTTCTCAGGGTGCCCACCCTTCCAGGCACTTCAATCCCTCTGACTACAAGAGACCAAAGAAAGGCACAGAGTGGCCCGAGGTTGAGGGCAGATTGAGAACTTCCGGTTGCCTCATTATGTCCTAGCACACAACCTCAGCGGGGATGGAAATCCACCTTTAAGGCAGGTGCAGGGCAGAAAGCCGCCCTTGCACACTGGGTGCCAGCTCTTTCCTCCTTTCTCAGGTCACCAGACACCCACTGAGCGCTTGCTCTGTGATCGGAGGGAGAACCCGGAGGCACAGGCACAAGGCTGACGTGCTCCACGGAACCAGAGAGGGGCCTCGGCTCTGCACACTGCTCAACCCGTCTTCACAGTCTAGTGAGGAAGACAGCCAAGGGCACCTGGGACTGGAGAGAGAACAGCGTCAGCCAGGTGCAGCAGGAGAAGGGCTGTGGAGACTGCGCGGAGGGGGGGACCACCCCGAGCTCCTCGCCGAGAAGGGCATTTGACGCAGTGTGTGCAGAGTGACGGGGCTGAGTGGAGAAGACGGGCCTGCGGGGACAGGAGGGGCCTGAGCTGGCGGAACAGTGCAATCGCAGACAGAGGGGACACTGGATCCCTGCTGCATGTAAGGCGGGTGGGGTCCAGGACAGGAGCTTACGGAGAGCAGTGCCCTGCAGTCCTGTGGACAACAGCCGCTGGTTCAGAAAGGCTGATTCAAAGTCTCCTACTCTTGGCAAGGGGACGGAAAGACTTTATTACTAAGCTCTGGGGATGTCACACCACTGGCCTTTACACCTCTCTTAAGCTGAGCTCCTCCAAGCAGAAGGAAGCCTCCCCACCACGGTCCAGAGGAAGAAGATGGCCCATCTCTCAGGGCCACTCAGATCCCATGGGGTCTCTTCTGACTTGGCCCACGAAGCTTCCCCAGTGCTGTCTGTCTTTGACTAGGATCCTGAACTGGTATTTCCTGGGTGGTAAATCAAATAAATGTTCAGTGTGAGAGTCATGGCCGAGTTCAGTGCAAGCAGATGCCTTTTATAAATCTGAAAAATGAGGTCAGAAGTAGCTCCAGGGCATACGTTACTAAAAATAAATCTCACCAACTAGCAAAAGTAGATGGAAGAAACAAAAGCCCTCCTAACTTCCTCATGTATCACGACTGGCAGTTTAGCGACCTTTTTTCCCCTCAACTTTCTGATCCCATGAATAAGTTTTCTCCCTATTCAATCATGAAAAACTCAAATTATAGAAAATGTATGAAAGGACAACAAACATCGTCTTACCCTCTGTGGAGAGTCACAACGGACATCTTGTGCTGTCTGCTATAACTGTCATACTGAATCATTCAAAAGCGCAGTGAAGACACTGAATCACTTTAGCCTTAAATACTTCAGCCTCCAATTCCTTTTTTTTGGTCTTTTTTTTTTTTTCTTTTTGAGACAGGGCCTCACTATGCAGTTCAGGCTGGCCTGGAGCTCACTTTGTAGCCCCGCCTGGTCTCAAACTTGCAACGATCCTTCTGCCTCAGCCTCCCGAGTGCTAGGATTACAGGCGTCCACCACCATGCCCGGCTCAGCATCCAACTTGTAAACACAAGGGCATCCTCCTAGATGGCCTGTTGTATCACCTGTTGGAGACCACCTACATTAAAAATCTTTTGAATATCAAAAATATGAAATCAGTACTAAAATGTCCTCAGTTTAACTACATGGTTTCCTTTATAGTTTTTAAAACTTCTATTAGGCCCAGGATCCAACCACTGGTGCTGGCCGCCTTGGGAACCTCAGTGTGCTCTCCAGTGGGTCAGGTGCAAAGCTGCCTGTGGGTTTGTTTGCTGCACAGAGCATAACGCATGCTTCTTATTCTCATGACATGACAACCAGCAGCATGTTACAATTGGGAGAGAATAATCAAAGACGATTCACAAGAACTGAAACACGACAGGCTCACTCACTGTCAACAAAGCAAAAGTGAACAGGATTTCGGAGTCAGGAAAAAGATTCATCATAAGGAACCCACGTGGAACTTCTTCAGGGGCATCCAGTTTTATTGTTGCATTCCTTCTAGTCTTAGAGTTTAAAACTGACAGACTGTGAGGATTTCCATCAAACACCAAAAAGCCTAAAGCTTCTCAGAGCCTGACGGGATTTGATCTTCCTTGGCTAAAAGACAAGGAGTCAACCATACAAACAGATGCCACTGTGATTCTAAGGATGTTAGAACAGCATTAGATTCCACCTTTAGGCTCTGCTCACGGGGAAACAAAACTGTGAATTTAGCTGAATTATTAAATCAATCTCAAAGGAGTATTTTAAACAACTTGAGTTCTGAGGCATCCCGAAGGCCTGGTGCTAGGGTATAAGTTGTTTCTGTCTTTGTCAAGGGAGTGAAAAGCAGTGAGCTGCGACCTGAAGGCCACCCCTTCCCCACCCTCACCATGCTTTTCTGGCCTGAGGGGCCTGGGGTGCGGGGCCTAACCACAGGGCCGGTGCTCTAAACATTCCCTTATATGGACGCTCACCCTGTGAGTATTTCCTGCACACTGATGTTAAGCCCCAAGGAAATAAGGCCAGCGAAGCAGGCGAAGTTAAGCTTCCCACATCCTCCTGTGCACGGCATGGGCCAGCTGCGGCGTACAGTCCCTAACTTGAGACTCCAGCTGCAGTGGCAGCTGAGATGTGTGTGCTATATCTGTCCTGCTCCAAAGGCCCCTCCTGTCCAGCAGTCTCTGTAGCTCTAGCTAAATAAGTCATGTAATCTTACCCTCGTCTGTGTCTGCTCGTCCACCTGTGCCTCGTCTGAATAATACAGTATTTTACTCCGTCTCACTTGTGTCCCATCCTCAGTACATGGCAATGTCTTCCAAGGTTAACATTTGCCAAGGTAGGAACTGGGGCTATTTAATAATAATGGCCCTTCTCCTGCTGAATTTCCTATCAATCTTTCTCACAACCTTAATGAAAAGTTTTCCTTTGGAGTCTGCAGGTGTTAACAGCTTCCTAATGCTTGCTAATATTGTTTTTAAAAGAAAGAGGCTGTGTCTTAGGTTTAGAGGTCTGGGTAGGCAGCACTGGAATGCAGCTTTTTTTCTTTTTTCATTTTATTGTGGGCCTGGGGATCAAACCCGGGGGCTTGTGCATGCTAGCCAAGTGCTCTACCACTGAGCTGCATGCACCCCTAACCTTTACTTTTACTGAATTTATTCTGGTTGCTTTCTAAAAATGGCAAGAGGTAATGGTCTTCTAGCAGAAGTAAGTTTCCAATCACGCAGGTAATAGAATCAGTGGTCAGGGCAATGGCAAAAACCGTGACAAATAAGCTTTCGTGCCTAAGCTTTAGCAGCACTAGCCCAAGAGGACTGTTTTTAGATGAGGAGTCCCCCTCCTCTGGCTGTACGTGAGGATGGCGAATGTAGCTTTTAGAATTTCTGGGTCCACTTCCAAAGATGTTACTTTTCCTAGAATGCGTCAAGACTTGGACATCAGTATTTTTTTGATGCTTTCCAAGTGATTCTAATAAGCACCCTGAGGTGAGGCCACTGCACACCCCTGTGCCACCTGCCTGGAGTTCGAAGATGTCCACACTCAGTACAGCCAATGTGCGACAATTCCAAGCCCTCGGCCCCAGGCACTCTGTCCACTGGGGTCCCCTCGCAGAAAATGCACAGGTACAAAAGTACATAATCAAGGCTCTGCTTGCCTGCAGCTCCTGGAAAGCTAGAGAAATATCAAGGACTGAGCTGGCATTGGATGACTTACGCTCTGTCAAACTCAACGGTGATCTCTGATGATTTCACAGGACAAACAGGTCTATGCACCATCTAGGACCTGGCTGACACGTCCTTCCCCCTGTTCACGAGTAAGGAGTCCGTGTTAGGTGCTCATGTTAGGTGCTCAAGGTGCAGTGAGGCTCCTCCCGTGGGAAATCTCTCCTCCCCTTCTGCTCCCACAGATTACTCTCCATTTATCCCATGTTTCACTCCGGGTAGGCCACTAAGGATGACAGACCCTACACTACACTGATCTCAAAGTTTCATTGGTAGGGCCCTGACCAAACAGACACTCATTCTATCAGCTCAATCCAAGTGTCCCTGTCAAACAATGTGTTAACAAGCAGTAGGCTCCTGACTTTTCCTTTCAGTAAAACAATGAAAAGTTCTGTGCCGATCAGTCCTCTTGTCTACAATCACAGCGGTAGAACTTGAACAGTGCCATGGTGCAATCACCCGAGCCCCACGGTCTGCCTGGCCCACAGGGACTCAGGTGTGTGAGAAGAACCAATGGCTTCTCAGGCCATGCTGCCAGGGCTTGATGTGCTGATGACCTCAGGTTTGTGTTCCAGACGAGGCTGGGTCAGAAAAGATGAAAATATGCTGGAGACCATACAGCCATGCAAGGGGAGGGTACTCGAGTCCAGGTGCCCGCACTTACTTGCACAGAGCTGGCTCGTTTCCAACTCAGCTCTGGTCCCAAGTGCTTGCTCATATGGAAAGGTCAAGGTCATACCTGAGTGTGCCTGCATCAGGGCTCACGCTTCTCTGCTAAGTGGGGAGGCTTTTCTCAGAGCGAAGGGAAAAAGATCCCGGATCCAGGGGAGTACGGAGTGATGGTCTGAGATGGGCAGTGCAGGAAGGGCTTTACATTTTTAGTCTCCAACACACCCAGATTATGTGCATGTAAGTGTGCAAGTATTTCCTTATAAGGAAAAATAAATATTGCAATACATTCAGTAACTCAGAATGTAAACAGGGAGCAACCCCTTTCTCCTGCCTCTATCACACCACACTCATGAAAGCTTGGTGAACAGGACATTTATAACCAACTCGTTTATGAAAGTTATAGTTTACGAGAAAAGTTAATGTTTATGCCAGAACGTGAAAACAGCTGGAAGAATATCCTGTGGAAAGTGAGCAGTGGTTATCTCAGTGTGACAGTGTTTTCTTTCTGTTTTCCTGGGTTTTCTGTCAGTGCGTTTATCTCAATTCCACAAGCAAACTGGATAAAAGGGATGACACTGGGGAAGTCGGCACATGTGGGGACGGACCTGTTCAACAGCAGGAGGACCTGCAGAGCTCAGAAGCACATCCCTCCACACATGACGATGTTACCCCGGGGAAAGGGCCCCGGGTCCTATCTGGTCCTTGTCCCAACTCCTGCATGAGCTGTAACCCTGAGAAAAAAATCAGTGCCTTCCAGGGCCTTGGGTTTCCATCTGCAGTATGTGAAGCTGCACTAGATAAGTGGATCTCAACAGGGGAAGGTTTTATCCTCCAAAGAACTCTGGAGGCACGCTTGGTGGTCGTATCTGAAAAGGGGGCGCTACTGCCATCTAGTGGTAGAGTGTAGAAATGATGCTCAATTTGACACGGCACTGCCTGTAGGAAAGGATTACCTGGCCCGGTGGTACTGAGAGATAGGTTGAGATAACTTGCCCGGTTGGTTTCACAATCGTTTCCCCGATTTGACTACAGCATGTATCACCGAGTTTGGGTCCAGACTCTCTTAGCCTCCTGAAAGGAAGCAATGTCCTCAAATGACTGACCAGAGTGTTAGCGTGCTCCTCTTCACTATATAGAGGTTAAAAGAAAAAAAGAAAAAAAAAGAAAGAAACAGAAGCAGAGGTGGAGCATGGACTCACGTCGTGGGTGGGAAGCCCTCAGGACAGGCAGGAGTGGCTGTGTCTTCCCAGAGGCGGGCCTTCATCACGCACATGTGTGAACAGCGCCCTCTGCTGTGCATGTGCAAAACTACAACGAGCTGATTCTGGAAACCACCCAGGATCAAACAAAACTGCGATTCCTGTATCTCTAATGACCACATCATTGCTTCCCAAATCAGGAGGGGTCAAGAAAACATGAAACGCTCCCACGAATTTTTTGGAAAAAACATGACACACATAAACAGATACTTAAATGCTGATCCATTTCAGATTTTAAATTCAACACTTGAGAGCCCAGTATGACCATATCATTTATGAATGTTTCATGAACAACAACATAGCACTAATTCTTTTTTTTTTCTTTTCATTTTTTTTCCCAGTACAGGGAATTGAACTCACGACCTTGTGCTTGCCAGGCAGGTGCTGTGCCGCTGAGCTAAATCCCCAGCCCCATACTACTAACTCTACAGACGAAAAGAAATGGAATTGGATTTCCCTCTCCCATTAAAAATAATTATCAATTCCAGGTGCATAATGGCAAGATCTGTTTAGCCTCAAAAGGCTAAACTCTGAAACTTTTAGAAGATAGTGTCAGGTCACCCGCAGAAGCATAGCATTCAACAGGAAGCCAGCAGCTTCCCTGTGCAGTTCAACCTGCAGAGAGCTGATTCCATGAAAAACCACAAGAGACGTGCTGTACCTGGCAGCACCCTCCTGTACCCCACACAGCCCCGACTATCAGCCAGCTCCGGAACCTCTGCTCAGAGACCCAAAATTCTGCAACCCCTCAGCAATGCCTCCTTCCCCTACAAAACACGCTCTTGCCCCTTGCTTGGGTCCAACGGTCGTTTTGCCCTTGACCCAGCTGCACCCAGTCTGCAGTAAAGTCCTCACACGCTGCTTAAACTCTGCCTGTCTTGGTGGTGGTCTCAACTGGTTTATCCTAACAGATAGTAAGACTTCAGATCTTTAGGGAAGACTTGTAAGTAAGTCACAAGAACCACAGAAAAAGAAAAAAATACCACACTAACCTAAAGAATGACTGTTCTTCAAAAGATAAGCTACACTATGTATTTATAAAATATTATATATATAATGCCACAAATCCATCAGTAAGCCCACTAAAAACCCAGGCGAAAATGAACAGCACTGAACAGCACTTAAAGAAAGAGGCTGTCCAGGCAGCCAAAAACACAAGGAAAGGGACTCGGAATCACTAGGGAAATTAAAACCAAAATGAGACATCAAGACACACCCCTAAAAGGGCTTTGACTGTAGAAATGGACTGCTGTGACTGCTCATGAAGACGTAAGGCAACTGGAACTCTCATGCTTTGCTCAGTGGGCATTTAAACTGATACAACTGTGTTGTAAAACTACTTGGCAATATCAACTGAAGCTAAAATACTACATGTTTCCCTAAAAAATGAGACCACATATCCACCAAAGGACACGTACAAGAATATTCATTACCGGGGGCTGGGGATTTAGCTCAGCGGCACAGCGCCGGCCTGGCAAGCGCAAGGTCTTGAGTTCAAGTTCTGGTACCAGAAAAAAAATAAAAAGTAAAAAAAAAAAGAATATTCATTACCTCCTCATCCTAATAGCACCCAACTGTAAACAACCCAAACGTCCATCCCCAATAAAATGGATGAGTCAGCGAGTCCGCTCCTGTGCTAACACTGCACAGCAATGAAAAGCAACTCATATACAATAGGGAAGAACTGCAGAGACACAGCACTGAATGTCAGAAGCCAGATAGGAAAGGGAAAATATACTGAATAATTCCATTTATGTGAATTTTGGGGATGAACAAAACTAACTTCTGGGAGTAGAAGTCAGAATCATGGCTACTTTTGGAGTACGTACGGTAAAGCTGGCTACTTATACTTCACACACCAGCCACCTCCCACCCAAGGTGTACGAGTTTCTGTGCTAATACTGCACTCTGAATTTTGAGAAATGTTTCTAAGCCCACAATTTAATGAAGAAAATATACTTCCATCCAAGTGATCAACCCTTTAATAATTTCCTTGTCTGTAAGTTAGGGATATAGTCACGATATCTTTCATAGGCAGTGACTGCGAATGAGACGGGGAATTGTAGCATGAGAGAACTCTGACACTATGAGAAAAGGCAGATGGCACAGTACAGAAACCCTCGAGACTTCTTTGCATTTTTCAGAATCCTACTTTCTTGCAAACTAGTATATTCTATTATCATTTTAACATTAATGTTTAATAATAACACATGAATATACTTTCCTCTTGGAAACTGACACCTTCCCCACAAGACTGAAGCCTCTGCTGGCCTCTACTCCTGGTGTTCTATTTGGTACCCAGAGAAAATGCCTGGCCACTTGATACGCTTTTTCCCGAATTTTTTCCTCAATGCTGTGTTATATCGAGTGCTTCACGTTACACGTATGACATCACCATGTGTTTTGTCTAAGAACTTGTTTTTTCATCCAGTATTATGTCTTTCACCATTTCTTATGTTACTATTTGAAAGGCTACTTTATCCCTTCTGCTTATTCCACAGTGTTGGGGATCAAACCCAGAGCCTCATGCGCGCCAGGTGAAGGGGTCTGCCTGTGCGCTTCAGCCCTAGTCTTCCTCGGCTCTTTTTAGCTGCTTCCGTCTTCCAGAAGAATGGAACCCACAGTTCACACAGATTCTCTTCTATGGGTGCCCGTTCGCTTTGTCTGCCTGCCTCCTTTCTCTTTGGCTATTTGAGCTTCTTTCATGAAAAAATATATCACCCCAATACTCAATTCTGGCTTCCTAAATAAAACAAAAAGGTCACGTTCCACTTTAAACAGGAAGGCACCGCCCTTGATGGAGATTTTCCCAGTTGTTAAAGTAGAAAGTGGAGCGCACAGCTCTGGTGACCCCAGCTCCTGCTCTGCCGCCCCACCTGGCCTGGACACCAAGAACTGGGGGCCGCACTGGCACCCCGGGCTTTGGTTCTGCCTCTGCTGTGTGCGCTGTGAGACCCCCACTGAGTACCTCCCTTTCTGGTTCTCCACTTCCTTGCCTTTGAACAGCGGATGGGAATGCTGTCGGGGGTCTTTCTTCGCCCGGAAGTCTCTGACTGTGGGTGTCTGCAGTCCTCAGTGATACTATTTGCGAGTGACCATGCAGAAGGCAGTGGTCCTGCGACACACTTTTTGCTTCCTTGCAGACCTCCCTTACGGCCTGTCTGCCGGTCGGAACCAGTCACAGCACCTCAGGAAAGGAGCCACGAACAGGAGACGCCCTTCCCACCTCCACCTCCTTCTGGTGACCCTGAGGCCTTGTGCTGTTTTATCCATTTATCCCTGAGACCTCTGAAGGCGTTGCTATAGTAACCCAGGCCCACTGAACTGTGTTAACAACCTGTTATCATAAAGAGGAGCCGCTACCTGTCTCCAGAGTCCCCTTAGAGGGACAACAGAGGAGCAATTATTTCTCACAGAGCAAAAGCCACTGAGCTCATTTCAGGGCTCGGGGTGGGTGAGCGTCTCACAGAGCAGCCGGCCCTGGGCTGAAGAAGAGGACGCCAGGGAAGGAGGGCCCTGGCTCACCCAACAGGGCCAAGACTCTGCTCTGGCTCTTACTGAAGCTCCTTCCATGACAGCTGCCTCCTCACCTCCCTCCCTGTGTTCTGTCCCCTCCTCCCTCCCCGCTTCCCGTACCTGCTGTCTCCCGGTGATCCCAGGGCTGCCAAGGGCCCTGCCCTCCACTCCCTGTCCAGCTGGTTCTTCTCCAACAGCCAGCAGGGCCCTTGGGAAAGTCACCTTCTCATTCTGTGCTTCCAAGTGCCCACGGCTGCCCGTGGGGGCGCACGAGTTGAACCCCAGGGCCTTGCCCCCTGCTCCCTCTCCCACTTCTTTCCTCGTCCCGTCTTCAGTCCAGCTCACTCTGGGGTCCATTCTCTTTACATACATCAAGCTCCACCATCTCTAAAAAGTGCACATCCCTCCCGGAACCCTCCCCTTCGCCCAACGATCCCGTCACCCTGCCTGGTCCCTCAGCACGTATCACTGCCTGCAGTCACACTGACTGTGTACGTCTTTGCTTGTCTCCTCCAGAATAAAGATGGCCGTACTTTGTCTCTTACCCCGGTCATTACCCGCACCCTAAGCCGCTCCTAGGAGGGCACAGCCTCAGCGCCTTCCACTGAAAGAGTGGAGGGATGTGTAGAGTACAGGCAGCCAAGAGGGACACCCTTCCCCACGCCACTCACTGCTCCAGGCCGTGCCAGTCACCCCGCCCCGAACTCGAGGCCTGAGCCTGCATGGAGGACAGAGACCACAGGTCCCCCGGGGCGAGGGGCTGGTGCCGGGGATCCCAAGGGGCTCCGTCCCGGGAAGCAGGCTTTTCCTCACTACAGCTGCTACGACTCACTGTTCAACTCATGTGCCACACACGTTACATGCATTGTATCTTCTCCACCTTGAAACTCCCCATGCAGGGTAAAGCCAGCTTCCCGTTCTCCAGAATTAAAACAACACTGCAGGAGCTTCCTTCAGTCTGGAAAGTCTTCCTCAGCAAACTCCTGCTCACTCTCCAGGAAGTCCTCCCTCAGCCCCAAACTGCATCCAATTCTGAATGCGCCCACCCCGCATGGCACTGCCATCTCTCCATCAACAGGCAGAGGCTGCCAGGCAGGGACCACCTGCTGCAGCCACTCCTAACCGTGCCTGGCCCAGGAGCGCCAAGGAGCAACTGTTTAAGGACGGACCGGAAACTAAGGTCTGTGTGACTGTACTGAGGCCCAGTGTAGCCAGGGAGAGACGGAGCCAGGACTGGAGTGGGGTTTGTTAGACTCTAGGGCCGCTGCTCAGGAGGACGCACATCCACACCGCAGCGCTGCCTGGGCTGGAGACCAATCCCACTCAGCTCAGGACTCACCAAAGCTTGCTCTATCAGGAGGCAGAACAGGATGGCATTGCCCACCTCCCGCAGGCTCTGGAACACATCTGTTTTGAGTTCTGCGTATTCGATGATGTCCTTCAGCTGGTGGTGGAAGAACTCCAGGATCCCTGGGAGACGAAGGGAATGGTCAGGGGGATGTTCCAGCTGAGCAGCAGCCCCACACACGACTCTTGGACAGCAAACCACGTTTCCTCCCACATGCGTGCTCAAGGGTGGGAGTTCTTGCAGGGTTCAGTGTTAAAAAAGCTCCAGAAACTGGCACAGAGTATTATTTGGAACCGTGTAACACAGGCACACAAATGCCCTGGTCCATGTGTCCTGCCAAAAAGGTTACTCTTATATTAGTTTCCTGAATTTTCAATAATGCCGTGACTATTAATTTACAGGTGTTAAATATTGTGCTTTGCACTGTCTGAGACATTACTCCCAAGGATCACCATAAACCAGGCATTCTGAGCCCTCTTCTCAGATGGGGTTCAGAGAGGGGAAGCAGCGTGCCACAGTCCCAGGGAAAGTAAGGGGTGCAGCTGGAACTGGACATCGGAACTTCCGGCCGCATCTCTTCCCTGCTCTGAGTCACACTGACCTAGCACACATCTTGGTTTGTGACGAAAAAAACATCATGACCTCCATCTTCCCCTATTCTCTAGGCCAAATATTGAGTAGAGAAAATGCCTGTTTCCTGATTTACCTTGGCACTGGCCCAACCTGGGGGACCGGCCTCCTCTGAACAGAAGGTCTAGAGGTTCTGAGGTCGTGAAGACCTTTACAGGAGGCCACGCTGTCCTCTGCGGACAGGCTCTCTCATGCACTGTCCTCTTCCAGGTGCCAGCAGTCCCCTGCGGCAGGCCCAGCGGGCATCACTTACCTCCTCTCATGGGTGAGGCTACTGCTCAGGTTGGGGGATGAAAGGTTCAAAGCTCTAGCCAGGGTGCAGAGCCAGCGCTCTGTGAGCTCACTGGCAGGGTGGAGAAGCAAACAGGGCAAGGTGGGTGGCCAGAGCCCCCGCCTCACGCTGAGATGGGCTTGCACTTTTCCTGTCACCAACCTGGAGAGCCGTACTCATGCCGGGGCAAGCGGCAGATCTTGGGCATCACCTCGATCAGTGTTTTCACATACTGCAGAATGGTCCCCTGGAGCTACAAAGGAAGAGCACAAGTGCATGAGTCGACCCGCTGCTGCTGCAAACTTCTACGTACCTCAGGGCTGAGGCCAGGCTGCGGGGCGGGGGTTGTGTTTGGAGGGTCTGCTGAGTCCCGAGTGGGGCGAGTGAGGCACTGCCCGGAGAGGAGAAGCATTCTCACCTAAAAGCGAGACACACCCACACTGTCTTTAGAAGCTAGAAAAAGGAGTTAAAGGCCAATGGACTTGTGGGAGACATATTTGTCGGCACCGGGTCCTCTTGTGGTTGGACTAAGAGCTAAAAGGAAATGTGGTCAAGGAACTACGGAGATTAAGAAACATTATCTAATTTAAGCATGAAAACTTCATAGCACATTCATCCCTCCTGGGTCCAAGGCAGACATCTTTAATCAGTTTCCATGTTTTCCTATCTTATTCTTCATTCAGCTTCATAATCCTTAACCACTCATGGCTTCACACAGCTAAAAACTGAAGTTAGCAGGTAAATCCTGTTGACTATTCCAGACCTGGTTATACATTTACTTTATTTCGCTTATGTCATCTTATACATTTAGGCAAATCTATGTGTTTTGGCCGTGCTTCAGCAGGGGATTAAGTGAAGGTTCAGATGACCACACATGGGGCTGATACAGAAAGCTGGAAGGGATACAGAATTCTCTTGAAGCAAGTACACTGTTGATTACAACAGTCAGCAAGAAATCTCAAATATGGAAGTGTGGCAATTGATTAGAGATGTCTGTTTTAGGCATGGGAGAAGAAAATGGCAACACATGCGTCATGGATTTGCTATCTTTAAATTAGATAATGTGGCACAGGTGGGATGTATGAGCAGCCATTAGCAGCGTCTGAAGGTCAAAATAAATCATCAGAACCAAGGATTTCAGAGCCATAAAAAAGGAGGCAAAGCCACAGGTCAAAAAGTGCCCAGAAATGCACCCAACCAATAAAATGGGAACCATGAAAACCATAAGGTCAGAACCGGAGTGCCTGAGGTTTGTTTTTAACAGCACAGGTACAAGTGAAAGCAAATCTTGTGTTCATATCCACCCAACCTGGGCACATCCGCAGTGTACCGGGGCCATTCCTTACCAAGCTTTTGACAATTTTCAGTAGCTCCTCCATGACCACAGCAATGCCCTGGTAACCCAGAAGTCTGCAGATAGTCTTGAAATGCGGGGGTCCCACAAAGTTCCTGTAGGAGCTGTATATGTGACTGTAGGCGATGTTGAGGGGCTGGAAAACAGAGGGTGTAACAAAGTGAGGGACAGTCCTGAATGGATGTTGCTGAGAATCCTGGCACGAGATGCTGTGGGGACAGAAGGGAGGAGAATTTGATGTCATCAGAGCTCTCCCACTGGGAGCCCCAGGAATATACCTGCACAACATCAGTCAGGGAGAGCAGTATGGTCATGACCAGTGGATGAAGCATAGGTCTCCAGAAAGAGGAGCTGTTCCCTAGTGGAAGAGGGGAAGGTCTTCCAGGCAAAATTCTCTGCTACAGGGACTTTCCCCACTGGAGCCAGGGGACAGGGATAAAATGGCTGGTGTTCCCTCTCTAGAGGCAATGTGGTACTAGGAATTGGTGGGAGGAACCGCGTGCACTGACTCAATGTCTACTGTTGAGTTATTTTCATCACGGAGTCCTGGGAAGGAACAGGCCAGGAGTCAGGAGAGGGCTTCTCAGTGTCTGGGAAAACAACTTGGGTTTTTTGAACCTCGGATCCTTCTTCTGTGAAATGACGGGGACTGGATTAAATCAGTGCTTTCATAACTTTTGGAGCAGCAGTCCAAAGGAAAGATGTCACGTAGACTGCCAGGCAGAGTGGAGCTGGCCACTCCACTGGCAACCATGAGACATCCTAACTGAACTAGAAAGCTGTCTTGAAGGTATCTTTCTGCCGGAGAAAATATGCCCAAAATATCAGGCCCCTGACTGGTCTCATTTGTACGGTGAGGCTATAAAAATCAGCACTGACTCTAACGCTCTATTTGAAATGCTACACATGGAACACTTCACTCCAGGCTGTGTGGAATGAAGTGCTTCATACGTACTTCACTCTTTCCATATATTTTTTCACTGAATCCACACTACAAATATATGCAATATGTTACATTCACAGATGAGAGAACTGAGGCTCAGGGTGGTCAGCAGCTCACCCAAGGTCACAGTCTATTGATAACAAAGTCTTGATCTGAGCTAGGTATGGCCGATTTCCAAGTCTGTGCTCCTACCTTTACCTGTAATAGTGTACTATGGATTTGAATTTTTCTACAAACTAGAGTTGGCTATTTAGATAAGATTTCATCTCAAAATTGAGCTCTGAGTATAGTTTTCCTACCTGAAATTATAAAACTCCTGTGCATGAACACACAAACACAGGCAGGTCATACCTAATGTTCTGCTGGCTGAAATTTTCCACTAGTTGGCTAATTAGAAATTCTACATGTATCAAACAAAAGCTATGATGCTGCTTTTGGAGCACTGCAAGATTCCATTCCCTCTGGAGCCTCTGAGGGAAGAATTAACCATCTGCAGTCTAAGTATGTTTTGCTATACATGAATTACCCTACACTTTACCAAACAAACGTCACAGTCCCAGTTTCTTTCTAATAATAAGGATATATGAAGAATAAACTTAAAGCTCTCACTAATAACAAGGACTCATGATGAACTGGAACACCCACTCACTCACCGAGGTGAGTAATAGCGCATTTGCTAAGCTCAGGCCTCCACACTGGGAGGCCTGGAATGTGACAAAGAGCAGCGTTCTGTTCTCCAAAGCATGGAGCTGTCACGGTAAACTCTGCCTGAACCTGGGAAGGGACACAGTTTATGTGCTCTCTAAATGTATGGGCCAGGAGTAGTTTATGCAGAGGGAAATACAATTAACTTTAAAGTTTGAGATTCACTGAAGTTGATATTCAGTTAATCCTAGAAGAACATGAATTATTGTGTTGGGCTGAGCCAACCCTAGCACCAGGCCATGTCATTTTTTCCATATTCTCCTGTTTCCTCCTTCAGAGGTGAGGATCACCTAGCAAACACCCAACTACCCTTTTTCATCAGGGTTAAGTATTGGAAAGGGAGGAAAGAGGACTTTCTAGGTGATAGAAAGGCTCATCATGTTGATTAGATTAATCTGGGTATGGATAGACCTTACATCCGGGTCCCTCCAAAATTCATACACTGAAACACTAACCTCCCATGGGATGGGATTAAGAGGGGAAGGCTATGGAAGGTGAGACTTGACGGAAGAGATTTCATGCATGGGGTTAGAATCTCCATGCATGGGGTTAGAGCCCTTCCATCTCACGAGGGAAGAGACCTCATGCATGGAGTTAGAGCCCTCATAAAACGAGGGCAAGTCCTTCCTCCCCTCTGCCACTCGAGGCTACAGTGAGGAGACAGCCATCTGAACATCAGACTCCAGATCTGCCGACATAGAAGTCTTGGACTTCTCACCTCTAGAACTGGAAGAAATGAGTGTTTGTTGGTTAAGTCATAGTACTCTAGTACTCTTGTTAGAACAGCCTGCCCTAACAACTTTACATTTTACTGGAAATGATTGCACCCCAATATAAAAGTTTAAAACTCCACTTGAGTATGTCTTAGCCCAATTCCCTTCCCAACATTCACTTTCAAAGATCCAAACACAGAACCATACTTCGAGTTTTTTCCTCCAGAGGGCCACAGGCAGCCTGACGCTGCACAGTGCCAAGGACAATGCCTGGCATGCTCTTGGCCTTGGGGCAAGTGACAGAGCTCCTGCCCAAATCGTTCATTATTCCTGTTCACACTAGGGAGACTGGGCTTCTCTGCACCCCGGAAAGCACACTCTCCATCCCCCTTTTCAAATGTCCTACAAATGGAATTTCTGAACAGCAGGGAGCTCAGATGAATAACCCTGGTGGGCACAAAAAAATTGCTACCTGTATTATATTCTGACTCTCGAACTTTTCTTTGCTGGTCTGAGTCTAGAGGATGGGCTCTGGGCGGGTGCAGCTACAGCTGAGTTCAAAGCCCAGTTCCCCGATTTACCAGCTGGATATCACTTAAACCCTGAAGCTTTGGTTTCTCCTAAGATGACGACACATCAAATCCACCAAGATGGTTGGAGGTTTGCCTGATACACAGAGCAGGAACCGTGGTACTGTGAGCTTGGGCTGTGGCTGTGAATCTCTGAATGTGGAGAAGCGAGTGCGGGCGGGGCATGACTTCATACGACACACCGTGTATCCCACAAGGGGACGTCACAGAAGTCAGAACCCGGACAAGCTGATGAAACACGTTCCCAAGCTGCAGGTTTTTGCTCTGTATTCAGAACACTAAAAAAGTGAGAGCGGCCCAACAAGCCTGCGCTGGGCGGAGTCCCTCGCTCACCCGAGGCTGGAACAGCTGTGCTCTGTGCTCCCTTCTGAGGAGGAGCCACCACTGCCTTCCTCCTGAACACTCACCCTTCTGAGCAGTCTCCTAAACCCGGCACCCAGACCTCCACTCTCCCACCCAAGGGGCTTCCAATACGTTTCCTAAACACTTCCAGGCAAGCGCAAGCTGATGCATGTTCAGAAACTGTTCGGCAGACCTTCAAGATCTAGGTGGAGGATAAAAATTTTGAAATTGTTTTGCCACACAAGGGTTTAATAATGTTCCCCTCACCCCCTGACCCACTTGGTGCACTTAGGAGGTTTTCCGGATGGCATTCCGACGCCCATCTTGGATTCTGTCTAGATGGGAAGTTTAGGCCTCCGTTAATGGCTTAACACCTGTTTCACACAGGCAGAACCTCTGTGAAATGTGCAGAGCTCAAATGTTCCTCCTAAGTGAACAAGCCCCCGCCAGCACCATGCCCCGAAGGACAGCACACACATGCAAGGGGAAACACACACATGCTGAAAGGCGCGTGCACACGCACACCCCCGGAGGGCACCCATCTGACCTGGTGGCTCAACAGGAGGCTGGGCCCTACTGAGAAAATGTGGGAATAGGGGAGCCTGGGCATTTTCTGGGGTTTGACAAAGGAAAAACAGGAATTCAGTGTGACTGGAGACTCTGGCCACTCACCTAACCAACATTTCACTGCCCAAGGTTATAACGAGTGGACCCCGTGGGAAATTGCATCTCCTTATTTGTCTAGCACCTGTCACTCACTGAAAATCAACTTGACCAGATCCACGCTACAGAAAATAGATAACTTCCCGAGGTCTCTAAGAAATCAGTAACCCCGATGAACAAAACAGAGCCACATTATTGCTTGGTAACACTGATTATATTTTCTGAAAAAGCAAATAATATTTTAAGAAGAGGAACAGTTTGGTGAATTTGATCTGCAGGACTGTGGGCACTATTATCTGGGGATGGGACTTTTAAAAAATTGTGATATATATTATTCACATATAGGGTTAATATATACACATAAACTCTCTCTATAGATTAACCTTGATCGCTTTCACCATTTTTAACAGTGGTAAATGGACTTTTAACAGTGAGGCCTCCCTCCAGCCCTCACCAGATGGGGAAGATGCTGAAAATAATGAGGCCTATTTATTTGGCAAACTGAATTTGTAAGCAATTTGCATCCCTGCTCTCTGGAATCATGATTGCTGTTTTCAGGACTCCCAGGAGGAATTAAAAGTGCTTCTAATTTCCTGTTTTCATTACAATTTCTCTAACGAATGCCATCAGCCCACAAACACAAACACAGCCTCTAATTCAGGTTGGAGAGCTGCAGCTTAACTCTCTAAAATCACTACAGGTAAATGCAGTCAGGGTAAATGAACAACACCGCAGCACCACCCTTGTTGGGAAGCTGGTTCGGAGGACTGACTGATGCTGTTCTTGGTTCAGACCTATTGCTACGGCTTGGGTAAAACTGCCCAAGTGTCTCCCTGTCTGTGCTCAATACTGGGTGAGCTGTAGAGCTGGTTCTCAAACATCTGGGTTTTTTCTTGGTATTCTCAGCTCACAGGTAGAGAGACCTCATGGAGTGGTTGTGAATCTCAGAAAATATGCTTGCTTTCTTGAGCCAGGAGTAAAGTGCTTTGGAAAAGACAAGAGGAAGAGCTGTCACATCCGCCCTATCATACTTAGATGCTAACATTTTCGGAGGAAACCAATGCAATCGCTTTTCTCTAGTTCTTCCTCTGCATCCATAGGAGATACACTAGTATGGAATGTTTCTCTGCGAGTGTTTTCCCATGGTAATTCCTTCATGACCCCCCAGATGGTGGTGAATGACCGCAAACCTGGTGGCTTGAAACACCTCTTATATAGTCCTTCTGGAAGCCATCGATCAGTATCACAGACCCCAGTCAATGGTTGGCACGGTCACGCTCCTTCCAGAGGGTTTCAGGGGAGAATTTGGTCTTTGCCTCTTTCAGCTACTGGTGGCTGCCAGCATCCCTGGCTTGTGGCCACATAGCTCTGATCGTCACATCTTCTCCTCTATGTGTGTCCTTGGAGCGCCAGTGCTCGGCTAGCACATGCGCGGTGCTTGTCTGTGTGTGTAATTCTCTCTTAGAAAATATATGTGCTGGCACGTAGGTCTTTTTGCTATTTTAAGATTCTTCACTTCATCGCACCTGCAGAGACTTTTTCAAAGAACATTACATTTACAGGTTCCAGGACCAGGACCGCTGCATTTGGAGACCATCATCAGCCTATTACACTCCGTAAGGGAGACAGGCATCCCCACTTAGCAGAGGCGGAACCTGGAGGTCCGAGTGAAATGAGTAATTGGGCTGATCTGAGACGCAAGGCGATATTCTGCCACATGTACTATAACAGAAGCCACTGGACTGTGTGTATGAAATGTGGAGGAGTCCAGGAGTGGTACTGTGTAGACAGGGGAGGGGGGGTAGCCATGAAGGGGCAGGTGCCACTGGGAGTGTCGTCCCTGGGGCTGGTGGAGAGGCCCCTGGTCGGCCTAAGTGGGAACCTGGCAGCCAGGTGTGCACCCTGCTGAGAGGTACTTGGCTGCCGCAGCAAAGCACTGGTCCTACTGGAGTCAGTACTGAGGAGCAGCAAGCATGAGTCTCTGTGAGGTGAAGTGATGGCTGAGAAGTTATGGCTCCGTGAGGTACAGTTATCACTTAGCAGTGATGACCATGCTGAACCAAAAAATCCATCAACACCTTCTAAAAGCCAAAAAATGACTGGGAAGTGATTTAAAAGGATTCTTTTTCCCCTAACGTCAGCACTAAGTGACAGCACTCATAGGCTGCTGTACTTGAACTCCAGAGCACAGTATGTTCCAAACAGGAAATACCTGCTGACTGTATTCTCCAAATGAGTGCATGCTTTCTGGGGCTCTACCCGCTGCGCACAGGTGGCTGCATGTTCTCTGCAGGGTCTCTAAGTTCCATTCGTTCCTATCATTCTGGAGTCCATTATGCTCTGAAGTCCTGTCTCTACCTCTCAAGAATCAATTACTTCAAGGCTATTGTGGACACCGATTGCAGAGGGAAGAGAGCTTCCCAGGAGGGGACCAAGTGGTTGCCGGAGCTCGGGCCTAGGTGTAAAGCACTGCTATGCTGCAGTCTGGGTTGTAGATATACAACAGTGCTGGAGTCAGGCCCTGTGAGCTGCAGTTTCTCCTATGCACTGAGGGCCTCTGGCATATCTCAAAAAACTGTCATGGGAGTAAAATGAGAAAACACGTAAAATGCACCAAAATGTGCACAGTGGTTATTTCTGAGTTGTACGACAGACGTTTTAGTGCCATGTTTGAATTTTCTATGTCCTTTAATACATACAATGAGCATGTATGTTAAAAAATTAAATCAATAAGGCTGGGTTAAGGGGGACAAAGCAGAGAAGTACCATTTAGGGTGAAGCTATGACCACCTCAAAGAAAAGCTCTGACTTTTCCTAATAAGCAGCTACTGTTTCTAAGACCAGTACTGTATAGACACGGTTCATCTCACTATTATAATAACACTATATGGTAGGTATTACTATTTCCATTTTACAGATAAGTAAACCAAGGCATAAGAAAGTGGGAATTTGCTCAAGGCTACATATCCAGGATTGGCACCTGGCTTGGTGATTCCAGCTCTAGGATGGAGTCATACCCTCACATCACAGCTTCACTGCCACCTCCAGGAAGGGTGCAGGAACCGTGCTCAAGGCTGACTTCCTCTGGTAGTTACTTACTTCCTGTACAAGCTCAATAGGGATGAGTTGGCCCGGCAGCTGACAGGGCTACAACCTAGCTGTACTGCGGGAGGGCCATGCCAGGGAGGGAGAAAGAACAGGATAGTTTATCTCATCTGCCAACAGCCACATTGGCTCCTGCGGGTCCTCCTGGCAAGTGGTAACAGTCCTGGAGAGCAGGATGAGTCAGGGACCCTATTGCTAGTTCTACCACTGATCCATTATGCGGCCTGAGGAAAGGCTCCTCTTGTCTCGGGACTGTGAAACAAAATGGCTGCCAGGCCCCACATTCTCTGAGCCCCTTAATTCCTCAAAAATCTCATAGTTAAAAATGTCATCTAGGAACATTAAAAATAAATTGCCACTTCCTATGCAATAAGGATTGAGCTCTACCTCAGCCCTCCTCAGGCCCTTTAACTCTGGTGTCTTTATTCCCCTCAAAATAACCTTTTCAAAAGACACCTGCAAACTGCAGCCCTGGCCTTTCTGCAGAGAGGATGCTTTTATGCTCGGCAGGGCTCCGCCATTACCCTTTGGGAAGAGACAGGCTGTATGCATGGCAGCAGATTTAAGGCAGGCCCCTGGGGAGACTGAATGCCAGGGAAGGCCACAGAGCAACCCCTGGATCAAGAACACTGACGCCCTGAATCTCCGCACCTCCCAAAGACCTTGGCCGGGGCAGCATCTCGACTCACCAGGGAGCTCTTCCTGGCTTTGTGATTATCACTGACATGGTTTCCTTGGAGACCTACATGGGTTCGCTTGGATACTTTGACCAAGAACCAAGAAGGAGGAAACTGACTTCTTAAAATTATATTTTTAGTTTTAACTCACATATAGTCATCATACATATTTATGGGGTAGACTGTGGCCTTTTAGGTTTTTTTTTTGTTTTTTTTCTGGTACTGGGAATTGAACTCATGACCTTGTGCTTGACCGGCAGGCGCTGTGCCGCTGAGCTAAATCCCCAGCCCTGTGGCATTTTAATATATGCATTCAATACGTAATGATCAGATCAGCAAAACTGGCTTCTCCATCACCTCAGTCATATGTCAGCATTCTTTGTGTTGGGGACATTCAAGATCCTCTCTGCTAGCTTCTTTGAAATAATTAACTGATTCATTCATTCATTCATTCATTCATTTATTTATTTATGGTGTTTTGGTTTTTCTCCGGTACCGGGAACCAACCTCACGACCTTGCGCTTGCCAAGCAGGCGCTTTGCCGCTGAGCTAAATCCCCAGCCCCTAATTAACTGTTTAAAACCCGTCAGCCTGACGGCAGTTACTCTCCCTACTAAACAGCACCACTGTACCCATCAGCCATCCTCTCTCTGTCCTTCTCTCCCCAGCGCTATTCTCAGGGGCTGGTAATCACTATGTCAGTCTCTTCTCTGAGATTAACTTTTCAGCTTCCCTATTATAGAAGCGCACTTGTGTATATAGGCGTACGTGCGTGTGTGCGCATGCGCGCACGCGCTTCCCCAAGGCATATGATAGCCGGCCACAGAAAGATTAAAAAGCTGACTTTTAAAAATACGTAATTTGGGGGCTGGGGATTTAGCTCAGCGGCAAAGCGCCTGCCTGGCAAGCGCAAGGTTGTGAGTTCGGTTCCTGGTACCGGAGAAAAACAAAACAAAACAACAACAAAAAAATACGTAATTTGTGTAAAGCTGCTCTGGTCTAAATCCAGCTGAGCTCCTCTCCATCTTCTATTTGAGGCACGCTGTGTGGTCTCCTTCACAGAATGGTGCCAATGTATCTTGCGAGGTTGAGGGAACAGGAAAGGACTGAATCTCAGCAGACAGATACACCTCGGGAGAAACGCAAAAGGGCAGGCCGGAGTCTTGAAAGGACAGGGGCAGTACGGGCCATCCAACCAGGAACGGTGAAGGGTTGCACTTTGGGTGTCAACTCCAGCTGACTGATGGGGGAGCAGCCGCTCGAGATGTCTGTGCGAGAACTCTGAGGTTCTTCCTGGCCTCATTAGCAGGAGTGCTGTATTAGATTCCCAAGGTCACTGCGACCAACGACTGTAAACTTGGTATCCCCAAATGATAGAAATTTCTTTTCTTGCAATTCTAGAGACTGAGGCCTAAAACTAAGGTGCTGACGAGGCTACACTCTTTGAAGGCTCCAGGAGCGAATCCTTCCTCACCTCTTCCGGCTTTGTTGGCTTCTGGTGTTCCGGGGCCTATGCCAGCACCACTCAAATCTCTGCCAGTGCCTTCACGTGACTGCTTCTGCTTGTGTGTCCCTGAGTGTAAGACTTCCTCTCCTTTCTCTGACACATGCCACTCACAGGATTTAGGGCTTACCTTAAATCCAGGCTGATTTCATCTTGAGATCCGTAGCTAAGTGCATCTACAAAGATTCTATTTCTAAATAAGGTCACGCTCTGAGGTTCCAGATACAGACGCACAGGGAGGCGGGGTGGTAGTCAACCCACTGTGAGTGCCACAGTAGCTGAGCAACACGGCTAAGGGTTCAGGACTGAGCAGAGACAGCACTTGTGCCTTCTACCTGTCACCTCCATCTGGCCAAGGGGCCAGAAGTGGGATTCAGAACAGAAGAGGGTCTCAATGAGGAAGATAACATATAGCCTACCTAAACTAGATCAACCACGGAAAAGAATAAATAAGGAAGATTCACAGGGGAGGTAGGAGGTGGGGCTGGGTGTCACAGAAGATGAGGATGAATTTATTAACAGCTGTGGAGTAACTAAGAAGGGTATCTTTGCTTTTGAAACCTCTGTCCAAAAAAAGATCAACAAGGGGCAATAAAATGATCACTCGCCAACTAGAGCAAAAATGTGGGTGCACTGGAAAAATTAGTAGCATCCTAAGGATCATTCTGCTGGGGACAGTTTAGGCTTTTTTGGCCCAAGGAATGAGTGCTCCTCTCACTGGGAAAAAGCCTTTCCAGGCTGGTCCCTGAAAGCATCGTGCGTAGATGCCTGTTGGTTGCCATGGTGAATGATGCTGATGTGAAGAAATGAATAATGTGAGCGTTGGGGGCGACGGTGGGATTACTCAGTGGCGAGTGAGACATCAAGGAGAGCCCAGAGCGGAGGAAGCCACCATTCTTTCAGCTTTGGTCCACTCTGCCTCGGAGGGTAGAGCTCTACCCAGATACACTGCGAGAGTCAGGTAAGAGATGTAGCTGGCTCGTCTTGAAAATGGAAATGGCTTTCCTCTCACACTCTGCTTGGAGAAGGGCCAGGCAATGGTAAACGAATAGCTGAACACAGGGAGAATTTAGAAATAGAGCAGAAGCAGCAAACTAAAAAAAGGACCCAGATTTGCCTCTGAAAGCCGAGAATGAGGCTAGCACCCTGAAAGAGAACTCTTAAAAATGTCTGCTGTAGGGAACCCGGGCTGTGAAAACAGCCCGCTGCTGATACAGGCAGGCGGGAGGAAAAGCGTGTGCGTGACGAGAATAGGATTCCTGATTGCTCCCGATGCCACGGTTTCATGCAGTCATTCCCTGTGTGTCACAAGGAGTGAATTACGCTCCGGTCTGTGTGGTGGGAAGCGGGTTTGCGGGCTGTGTGGGGAGGGGAAGCGTGTACGAGGAGACCAGGGGGCCATCACAGATGCTCAGGCTCCTTCCGGACAACCTTCCCTGGAAAGATGCGAGCGTACCATCTCATCCCTCTCCATCTTCCATCTCTTAACAAGAAATTTGCAGCCAACTAAAAGGAACCCTTTCCCTTCCCAGTCAGGTTAGTTCACTACCATCTTCAGAGAAGAAAAATAAGGACTGAAAATGTCCTCAGTGCTGTGTATCTTTCAGCAGCTCAACTCTCCCAGGAAAGTGGGCAGTAAGATGGGAGGCTGGGCGTAGGCAGGAGGGGAGAAAGCCTGGTCGTAACAGAAATCAATTTGGCTTAAAATCCTTTTTGGATCTGTGACTGACTGCTTTTGCCTATGTCGTTGCAACCTAAAATGAAACTTGTGCTTCATGGGGAAGAGGAGGGGTGAGGATGTTTACCAGAGCACACCCAGGTTGCCTACAGCTTTCTTTAGAATTTTACTTGGGGGGATATCCAGTGGAGGGGAACTGTTACCTCTCAGACAGAATTAAAGAGAAACCAAGAAACTTGAAGATGGCTGTCTCTTACCAAAGCAACCTGAAGCAGCCTCGCATGACTTGTCTGGGAAAATTGCAATGAGGACTTAGTCTTGTTCCGCAATAATATTGTTATTGAACTAAGTCTAGCAGCTGTGCATTTGGAAGTGCAGTGGTTAGGCAGCTCTGTGTCATCTTTCTATACATTAGCTGAACAGCCTCAGGTTGCTCATCTGTAAAGTGGGTATCTAGCTTGTGTGGTGTGATGAAGAATGAAGGAAAAAATTTTTTCTTATCGCATGTAAAGCATCCCGTGTGACCTGGACTCAGCAAAAAGTCACTGCCGTGGGTGGCTATTGCCATCACTCAAAGTCATGTACCAGGAATATTGAAGGGTAGTTGTTCCACCGTATTAGGAACTGATCACCTTGACCTAAGGAACTACTTTCCCGGTACCCTTGGCTGTGAAAATACAAATAAATAGAACACAGGAAGAAATGAAAAATCAGTTGGCAACAAGGGAGGAGGTGCATCTCTGTTCTTCATGGACATGGATGACGTACCTGGGCGTCTAAAGAAGTGCAGTGGGCAGAACATTCTAGATCCCTGAGCCACAGCACTCAGAATGGGGGCGGGGGGGTTGGGAAGGGAAATTTCAGGAGAAAGAAATGCCTGAGAGGAAAGAGGTCACAGGATGACGCAGGTGGGCCCTTGCGGGTCTCTCCCTCCCTTATTCCTTCCGTCCATCTGCTTGTTCATCCTTCCATCCTTCCATTTTTCCTTTTGTGTTCTATCAAAGCATCCGAGCCAGGGTGGGATGTGGCTGAGTCACAGGGGCTGAAGCCTCGATGTGCAGTTCTGTTCTGCCCCTGCTTTTCCAGCCTCGCTAAGTCATGCGTCCCTGTGTCTCCATTTCTTTGACTGCAAAGTGGGTGTTCACCACCAGTGCCTGATTCCGATACTCAGTACACGGCGGCGATGGTTGTGATGGTAAATACGCAAGTAGGGGGTGTCACTCTTCACTGTGACTCTGGTTTCAGAATCGGGATGAACATCGAGGTGGGGAACGTTTCCTACACGGGCGCCATCATCTCCTGGTCGTCCTCGGAGCCCTGCCTGGAGGACTATTACCATATTATGTACAGGCCCAACTGGAACAGCATCTTCTCTGGCTATCTTCGCTACAGCTTCCACCACGAGGAGAAGGTGCCTCGAACCATCAGCTCTGTGGCGCTGGAACACCTCGCTCCCTCCACTCTCTACTTCCTCTGCATCAGCTGCAAGAAGGCGGCCTTCCCCTACAGGCACTACTGCACCATGTTCCACACGCTGGATAAGAGCCCCCTGGCGCCCGGAAGCTCCCTGGTAGACCCCCAGATCTCGCTCTGGGTGCTGATGGCCATTCTGCTGGCCTGCTTCACGGCTGTCCTGGCCTTCATCTGCCTGCAGTTCTGGTGCATCCGTTGTCATGAGCCTCGATGGTCATACAGAGCTGGCCACATGGAGGAAGCCAATGGGTTGGTGAGATGGCCAGAGGAGGCCCCAGCTTTCGGTCAGAGAGAGGAAGACCTGCAGGGGCTCCCCCTGGTGGAGATACCACGCAAGGACTCTGGGGCTGACCCAGGAGCTGAAGACCAGCGCGATGCACCAAGCTTACCCAGGGAGGGTGGCCAACAGCCTGCCATATTGCCTCATTGCAGGGAGTGAGAAGGGAGATGACAGTCCCCACTATGTACCCTAAAGCCCCGCCCCCCATACCGTAGGTCTTCTGTAAAAATGTACAGGCTACCCAGTTCTCCTCCCTCAAATGTCAGTGCTATTGTGGATTCCTGGTGTCGGATGAAAAGCTTCTCAAACTAGAAAGCATCCCCACTCCAGGGCTGCCACAGGACAAGCATGGCTTCGCTTCACCAGTGTCCCTCTGGGGGGCCCCACTGAGAACTGCAGGAGTTATTCTAACATTCAATCAAGCATGGGTATATTATAGAATAGAAAGAAAAAGTTTGCATGACTTCAATAAAGCACACACAATACTGGAAGGAAATGTGTGGGCCACAGATTTGGGATAAGGGATCGAATGGTCTCTTTGCGATTTGCTTTCTGTCATTCTTCGGAAAGCGTGAGAAGCCTCACACTGGAGTGTTCTCCAACCTGTAGGCGACCACATTTCACCTCATGTCCCATTTTCATTTTTTAAAAATCCTGGGCCATCTTTATTGTTATTGATAATAACACTTTCTCCTGAAGTTGGCTCACTTTTTAAATTTTAAACGTATTTTAAAAGATAGCCATACATCACTCCTGTCAGCAAGTGGTAAGAGCTGATCTGGGTTAACCACACTTTCCTATCTAGACCCACCGACCCACAGGAGAAAAGCCTCTCTCACGTTATTGTATTTGTCCGGTCAGTTCCTCTCCTAAGTCCAGCTCTGCTTACTTTTTGAAAACAGGGTCAAATGCGGCTATTTTTATTCCAGCAGAAAGACAAATGCTGTCCTCTTTTTTGCTAGGGGACATATTTCACCCTCTGGGCGGCATCCTTTAGTCCTCTCACACAAACCCTGTGGTCAGAACTGAATCGCGCAGCACAAAACCCCAGAATCACTGAACAACACCATGATGAACTGATCAGGAAATGAGGAGCTGGTGAGCCAAGACAAAGGGCCCACAGACCTAGTTCCCCATGTGTCTTACTGTAGTGCCCGCCTCAGTTTCCACCCGGCATCCGCCCACCCAGTCCATGTCCACCCCGTCCCTGTCAGCTGAGAACAAATAAAGATGCATGTAGTATACTCGCCGTTGTTTATGCCTGGATCTCACTGCTCCCTCGCAATCTCCATGCCTTCTAGTTTTTCTGATTCTGGGAACACCTTCCTATTTAATCTTTCTCACTAGCCCTCTCACAGGTAGGACAAGGCAGGGCTACTTACCTTGGAGCCATAGAGATAATAAGGCTGGACATTGGCAGGTTTATCTCGTTGTGGTTCTTGGGTGAAAGGAATGGCAGTTCGGACAAAACTAGGAAAAGAAAAGAGATGGGGAAGGAGTTACATGGGTCCTACTATGACCCTGCATGGGACACAAGCCAGCAGGAGTCCCCCTCAACCAGGGAAGCTTCACACAGCACAACTGCACTGTCCCAGGCGGTAGCCTCCAAGGCACTGAACTCTTCTGACATCCTCCCACTCAACTACTGTCCCCCTCCCATCCTTCCCACAGATGGGCAGAGCTGCAGCTCAGACCAGCCTCAGCTCAGGGCTTGGGGCTGCTCAGAGGACACCGGGCAACAAAGTGAGTGTGCCCTGGGCCAGCAAAGGGCCTTTTCTAGGGGCCTGTCCCCCACCTCCAGTTGGATTTCAGGAGCTGGGTTCAGTAAATTCTTCCTATAAAAGGGCAGAAGGCAAATGTTTTCAGTTTTGCAAACCAGATAGTCTCTGCTATAAGAACTTCACTCCACAGCTGAGCGTGAAAGCACACAGCAGGCAGCAGTCAATCAATGAGCTTGGCTGAGTTCCAATAAAACATGATGCATTTCATATAATTTTCATGTATCACCAAATACTAGTCTTGATATTCTTTTTCCAATCACCCAAAAATCCATTTCCCATTCACAGGCTCTACCCAAATAAGTGGCAACTCCATGTGTCTATAGTTTTGTGGACTGGGTCAGAGATTGCTGCTCCTTGCTCAAAAATGTGCTAAAAGTCTTAAATCTTTGTACAAGTGGAAATCCGTCTTGCTCGGTGTACCCGGAGCCAAGCCCCTGAGGTACTGAGAGATCTGCAGACACATGCATCTTTGCACAGACTATGAGTACGGTTTCTTTTGCATCGGGCTATGAAGCTCTACAGGGACGAACAGGTCTTTTGTCTCAGTGCCTGACCCAGGCTGTGTGCTCCTTGCAGGAGGACAGCTCCATTCTGTTGTGAATGAGCCTGTTTTGTACACACACGTTCAGACAGGCGGCCATCCTGATGGATGTACAGTAAGATCATGGCACTCCCCTTCCTCAAACTCTTCCAGGGTTCAAAAATGCTTGATTCTGATGTGGCCTCCGGGGTAGTGTAAGGTCTCTCCCTGCTTGATCTTTCATGGCACCACTGCCCACTGCGTTGGTATGACCTCACCAACCTCTCAGTTCTTCAGAAATGCTGGCTGGGATTTTGTTCTCCTGCCACTTAACTTTCTTCCCAATCCTCCTTTGCATCTTAACTCCAGCATTACTTCCCTGAAGAAGGAAGCCTCCCTTGAGGTCTGCTTCACTTCCTGGACTGGACCAGGCGGTGGCTTTCGTCTCCCTTACTTACAGCTGCTGTACTTTTTGTCCCGTGACTGCCTGATCACCTGAGCCTCCTCTAGCCTATAGGGTCCAAGAGGCAAGGTAGTGCTTTCCTGCTCTGCACGACATCCTTGCCTCAGGCACAGAGCCTGTTCCCAAGGAGGGCTCCAAGAGATGCCGGTCACATTTCTGGGTGAAACACTGACCCCTCACCCAGCCCTGGGCCCCTCTGCACAAGGTCTCCCTCACCGGTTTGTGGACCCATTGTAGCAGTAGTTGGGGAGGAAGTCAAAGTTCAGCTCCCAGAAGACATGCAGGGTGATGCGGCCGTAGGGGGCCGACACATTGTGATTGGCCTCCCGGAACATGGCGTCAAAGCTGTCCAGCGTCATGTGCTTACAGAGCAGCCGGTGCGTGAGCCGGTTAATCTCCAGCAGCCACTCAAGCTCCTATAGACAGAAAATGGAGACTGCTGAGGACTTGCATGTAAGGCCCACCCGCGTGCACTTTATCTTGTGGGTTCCTTTCAGGCAGCTGAGAGCCCCTCAGACAATATCTTGGCCTTGTACCTGAGGACGGGGATCCTCCTACAGTGGCACAGACAGTCTTCTCCTGTTCTGAAAAGCAGAAGGAATCACCCGGCTATGCTAGGTACAACAGTGGGGTGGGGCAGGCTGCATGCCTGGCCCCTGGAAGGAGACCACCAACCGTGCAGACATCCTGTTTGCAACCGTTAGGGCAGAAAGCACATCTGCTTGCTTTCCAGTCTCTGCACTGGTGAGGGGAAAGCCTGTCCCTCAGTGTCACAAGTAATAGAAAAGAAAGCTGTGACTCTGTCACCAGAGGCAATTTCTGTGTCTTGCGGAGAGCAATAATTAGAGCTACCACCTTTTTGGTGCTTATTATTAGGCTGAGCCATATGGAGTTTGTTGTTTTAGGTCAAATGCTGTTGCATACTTGTAACTTCATCTGCTTCAAATTAATTCACATGCACTGAATTCTCATCAAAGCTCTGTGAGGTCAGTATTGCTACTGTCTTTACTTTGTGCATACAAAAAGGCAGGCTTTGCGAAATTAAGTAACTTGGCTTCAAACCCAGGAAACTGGGTCCCAAAGTAGACATTTTTACACACTCTACAATTTCTATGAGAATTTTTACAGGAAATGGAACAGAAAGTCTCCTGCTTTGGACTGCAGGCCCCTCAATCAGACAAGGGACAGCAAAGGTGAGGCTATAAGCCTTGGACGGGAACTCTGCAATGGGCCTTGAGGACCAGGGACCTATGGATGTTGCAGGCCTGGGCCACTTTGAATCCCCGTCAGGCAGAGCATGGGTCAGGGAGAATGTCTGAGCATGGGGGACCCTGCATTTGCTGGGAAACAGAAGCAGAGGGAAGTCCCTCAGGCTCGCTTTGCTTTCTTCTTGGCCTGTAACTCCTCAGCCACTGCTACTGAAAAGCACTAAAGCCCAGGAGAGAGTGAGAGAAAGAGAAGGCAGACCTAATGCTGTGGCACTTGGGACCACACTGACACTGTTTTAAGACATCTTTTGAGACAGGTGTGACTGTCCCTATTTCATAGAGTCGGGGAGAAACTGAGGTGTGTAAGGTCAAGGAACTTGCCCAAAATCACACAGGGAATACACAACAGGGCCTGGAATGTGAACCCAGCCCTTCTGATTCCAAATCGTGCATTCTGGCCCCGTGACACAGGTACCTGAATAACGACACAGCGCTGTCAATGTCTCTCAAAAGGCAGCTGTTGGTTTGTGATATAAACGCAGTGCGGCTCGCACCAGACAGCCCCGGGGGGATGGGTCGAGGGCCGGCTCTGGTGGTGAGGTAAGGCTGTCACAGGAGGCAGGGACTCAGCTCCCTCCCATCAGGCCCTGCCTCTGCTCCTCGGTCCACTCCGGGGGACTGAGCTCCGCCACTCTGGAACTCAGATTTGACTCTGGCTGTCAATTTAGGCTGCAGACTCTGCAGAAAGCTAGCAACCAGAGGCCACAGCGGCCAGACAGGCCACGGGAGGGAGACAAGCTGCGGTGCGGATGGAGCCCTGGGGCAGGCTGTCCTCGGCTGACAGAGGTGAACCTGCCCCTCTGATACTCCTCTGATGGCTGCCACGTCAGAATGGGCTAGGGTTGGCAAATCCTACATTTTCCAAAGACAGTAAAAATCTAGATTTCCATTCCATAGCAGCAGCCAGAGGAGTAAATCCCTAGCCCCTGTGTACCATGAAGCAATGAAGGATAGAAACACAGAATCAGCTTTCTGCTTTGATCTCTTGGGGCCTGGCTGGCAGCACTGTGCCCGTGTTCCTATTTGCTTAGAAAGGGCAATAAGCAGATAAATAATAAACTGGCAACTGTGAATGGCTTTATTCCTACACATCAGAGTCACCTGGCACATGGCGGCGTCCTATTTGGGGGGGATAATCAGAAATAAGAAACTGGGGAACAACTTCTGGCCTACGGATGCGTGACTTTAAGTTTCACAAGCGCTTCTCCGCATTTAGGAGGGAGCTGAGGAGCTGAGCAGGGTTCTCAACTCTGCTAATGTGGGATCAGGTGGCCTAGCAGGTAATCTAAACTCTGCTTAGCATCACCTTTTGGGTTTGTGCTGGCTTTAAATCAAGAGCCATGTGCTTGCTGGACACATGGCTGAGAGTACCCAGGCGCAGAAAACAGGAGAAAAGACCCCAGGAGCAGCTGAGGTGCCTCCTGAGAGCATCTGAGCTTTCATCAGTAGAGCCAGTTTACTGATGGACAACACAGAGAAGCAAAATGGGAAACTAGAACAGGCAAACAGGCAACATCAGAGAGGGAGTGGAAGGAACTAGGACACCTGAGCGTCAGCCACGCCCAAGTGCTGGCCAGCTGCGGAACCTCAAACGGATGAGAGAATGAGGAGCCTCAAGCTCAGGTGCGGCAATGGGGGACTTGCTCGGGCCTGCGGGGCTTGCAGATAGCTGAAGTGAGCTCGGCCCATCTAAAGGAACATGTAGTCATTTCCAGGCAATTGCTGCCAGCCGGGAACACCAGGCTGGCACTGTCAGAGCTTGTGAAATTTTATTTCAATTCTTCCAAATGTTGTACATTGGCTCAAAATTTCAAATATACCACGCAGCCTAAACAAAACACTGGCTGCGGGTTGCCACGTTCAGCTGCATCAGATGTCACCTAGACTCTTATTTGCTCAGCTGTGCAAAACTGGGTGACCAACTCTCTTCCAAGTCTACAGGTTCTCCCAGCTCGAAAACAGTCGTTTTCCTACCTCAGAGTGGAGGTTTTAAGGGTAGGAAGGGCACAGTACTTGGTTTGCAAGGAGACGGGAGCTTTTCAGACAAGGCAGGAAGGGGTCAGCTTGACCCTCATAGAGGAGCTCCCTGGGGCCTCCAGGTAAGGGTTGTTCTGAGTGGGCTGCTGCCTCCCTTCATAAACAAGGGTTTTCACTGCTTGTTTTGATTTTGTTCCCAGCTAACAGAACATTCAGTGCCTTCCAGAGGTGGGAAGAGGCACACACGGACAGACAGATACACAGGACATGCACTAATCTCTTTTTTCCGTAAGACATGCTCACTGTTGGAAAACTAGAAGATACAGGTAAACAAAAGAAGAAGAAGGAAAAAAACCAATTTCCCACTACTTGGTGCTAATCACTGCCAACGTCTTGGCACACACAAAGGAAAACTGTACTTCTTGAAATAGAGGTGGATGAATTATTTCCCAGAAGGATGCATGCAATTCTTGATCTCAGTGAGCCAGGACTCAGGTGATGGTGCAAGTCCTCATAAGAAACAGTGCAGAAAATTGTCCTTGACAGCACTGCATTCCAGTCCCAAATTTCCTTTTTCATAAACCACTAGTTATTAAATACAAGATAGTAGGCTAAATTCTTTCCAGATATTACCCTATTGTATCTTTCCAGCAATACTATGAGATGCATTCTAATACTTTCTCCATAGTATAGTCAAGGAAACAGGCTTGGAAATGCTAAGGTACCTGCTAAGATCACCCAGCTGGCAGATGGCAGGGCGAGGATGGGACCTCAGGTCGGTCTAATTCTGAAGTCCCAGTTCTTTGCTGCTTTGTTCACTTAAAAAAATAATTCTTTATTTTTAAGTAACTGTAAGCTTACAGGAAAGTTGTTAAAACAGCATAACCCGCATATCCTTTATCCCATTTCCTGAATGTTTACACCTTGCATGACCGTTGTACAATTATCTAAAGAAGAGATTAACTTAGGTACATATTATCCACTGAATATACGCTTCACTTAGATTGCATCAGTTTTCCCACTAAGACTCTCTTCCCCCTCTAGCAATCAGTTCAGGATCCCACATGGCATTTAGTTGTGAAACCTGATGTTTTAGTTGTCATTCATTTCTAATTGCTACAGTTTTAGATTTTTCCTTATCTTTCATGACATGGCATTTTTGTAAAGTATTATTCATTTTTTAAAACAATGACACTCCATAAGGTTTATTTAATATTTCCTCCTGATAAGACTGAGAGCGTGCATTTCGCCAAGAACACATGATGAAAACAACAATGTATCTCAGGACTTAGAACCCTGAGAAGTGGGGGATGGTGCCTGTCAACTTTCTCTACTGTAAACTTACCCTGCTCCCTTTGGAGTTAATAAATGTCTCAGGGAGTCACTCTGAGACTATACTGTCTTATTTCTTCTCAAAGCTCTTTTCTGAGTAATTTTTTGTATAGCAGAGAATTACGCACATGTTTACGGTTCTAGCCACTGCGGTGCTCAGTACATGGCATTAGGTGGGTGCTGTGCAACCACTACCACCATTCACCTCCGGAGATGCAACCTCCCTAACTGGATCTCCAGCCATTCAACACTAGTTACTTTTCCCTTGGCAGACACAGTTCAACTTTCTGTCTCTATGAATGTACCTACTGTAGGAACCTCACATTCAAGGAATTGTATAATATTCTTCTCAAGGTTTCCCACTAATCTTAGCTTGGACAGATTTTGCCCACAACTATTCTTAATGTGACATGCTAATAAATGATTTTTTAGTTTTCTTCATTCCTTCTACTCATCTGCTTTGGAGTATTAAAGTTTTCCTTTGATGAACTGAATGTTCAGCAGTAACGTTTATTCTAATTCTTGAAGTGAGAAAATAAAGCAGTTCCAATCACTGCTTTCTAGAACAAGGGAACAGGTCTGTTCTAAGCTTGTGTCGGATCAGAATGAGCTGCATAATGTACTGAGCAAGCGTAAAATGCCAATGTGGGGTCCCATGTTAAAAATTACTAAGACTTTCGCGATGGTAACAACAGAGCACTAAACCAATGTCACAGCCTGCTGGGTCCTCTATTACTGCCCCATGAAGTCTGCTGTGCCATCTCCTCGAGCTTCCTGGGACCATTTGCCTATTGCTCAGCACTACAGATCCTGCACACATGCAGCCATGCCCAAGGATGGGTCATCTCTAGAGATCTCAAGGAGATCCCCTCCTCTCCCTGGCCCTTGCCCCGTTGTTCAGGAGGACATGATTATTCTCATTCCAATTGAGTTTTTCTTTCTCCTGCCTTGTTAAGATAGGAGATCCACTGCTTCTCTTGCACTGACCCAGTATCAGCTATCAACAATCCCCGCTGGGCTTCTAGTCTCACCACCCCACAGTAGAAGGCCTACCAGCCCTCCATCTCTTACCACAATGGAGGTTAGGTCTTCACTCTCGAAGCGGCTGATGGCCTGGTCCAAGGATTTATACATGGCCGCAGAAATGCGCTGGGTGATGAGTCTGTTCAAGTCGATGGATCTACCCAACAGCTAGACGGCAGAAAGACGGGGCAGTTACTTAAGATTCATGCTAACATGTGACAACTAAATGCAATGCACTGAAAAGATATGGATTAAAATGAGAAATACTGGGACAAATGGGGACTGTGGGTAGAAAACAGCATTGTTAAATTTCCCAAGTGTGGTAATTTTATTTTGATTTCATAAGAGAATTTTCTTGTTCTTAGGAAGTACAAGCTGAGCTATGCAGTGGTGAAACGTCACAGTATCTGCAATTTATGCTCAACTGGTTAAGAAAAGTGTACTTACACTAACGTACACACATGTACACACAAATTGACACTATTGTGTGTATCTGAGCATATATTTGAAAGAAAAGTCAACTAAATACAGTCAAATGTTAATGACCATGAATCTGGCTATACGATAGGAAAGTGTTTATTGTGGTTTTCTTTCAACTTCCCTGCAGGCTTAAAATATAAAAAGTTGAAGAAAAACACCATTCACTCAGGCTATGGAAAAAGGCTTAGAGGGGACTCTACTCTCCCATAACTACGTCTGCTGGTATCCTAAATTCAGGCTTGAGGTTCTTCCTGCATCTGTCCTGTGCTCAAATCAGCCACAAGACAACAGCAGCCTCAGCAGTGGCCTACTTTGTGCATTCCTGGGGGCAAACTTAGCGAGCACACGGAGAGCCGATTAAAGGATGGAAAAGACAGCATCGGTTAATATCCACAGGGATACACACGAGCATGCTTGCACATGCTATGCAGATACCAATAAACATTTAGTAACCACCTGCTGTGTCCACTATGCTTTGCGGGCTGCCGGGTGATTGTTCCTAAGTGTTTTTTTCCTCGCTTTTCTCTTGGGGTAAATTTTCTACTGCTGACTAGGGGCCCACATTGTGATCGCACGTGCACACGAAGCCCACAATATTTAATATCCGGTGGCTAACGCTGGCTGCATGGTAACTGGCAGCAGTAATCTTCCGAGAGGCTGACGGAAAAGCTCCCACTGGGACTGCACTGGTGAAGGAGAAAGGGTGTTGATTCCTCTTCTGATTATTCCCTCCGGATTTCTGTTGGCAATGGGAGTGTCCAGGGTTTTCAAAGTCGAGTCCTTTGTTTTCACCATGCTCATCTTGGCCTCAGCTCCGACCCTTCACAGAGAGCAGGGGCCACAAAACGTACACAAAGGCCACGGCACCACCAGGCGGACCACGGCAGGTAGGGCACAAAGTCTTTGGGGGTATCTGCTAAGGCGTGTGGCTCATCTACACATTTTTAGACAAGTGTAAGTTTCTCAGCCCCTAGCAGTGATTCCTCTCCTCCTGGAATTAAATGTTAACAGAAACCATCCCACAGACGTGGAGCACAGTTTCCACCCCGGGTTTAACCCAAGGTGTTACATTTTAAAGGAGCCGCAGCCTTCTTTCACTTACACGAGCATCTAGGCTCCGTTCAGGGACAGATGACCCATCTCTGCATACCAGTGCTAATCGAAAGAAGTGGGTTCTAGTTAGTGACCTCAGGACAAAGGCTTTGGTGGCCACTAGCTGCCACAGGTGACCTGGAAATGAGTTGAGAAGCCTAAATCTTGCACCAAAGGAAGCTCTTGATTGTGAGAGTCTGAGGCTGTGTGACACCTATTCTTGGAAATCTGCACTAGGCCATTCCCAGGGCAGACACTACGGAGTCCCGACTCCTTGAGCTCCACGCTAACTTCCTAGATTCCCAGTCCCGCCTGCTGCCTGTCCCCTGTGGCTCTCCTTCACCGTACCTGGACATGCCTCTGTTTCAGCAGCGTTTCATAGCGGTTGGACGGTGGATATGGAATGATGACTCCATAATTCTTACATTCAGCTCGAAAACGTTTATCCAACAGGACACTGAAAAGAATCAAAGGTAAACAGGGTCAGTAAACACGACAGTGAATATCTCTTAATGTCCAGCCACATTGATTCCAGACCACAGGATCTACCCTAAGAGGGCTGTCTTGCATGTCTCAGACACAACTGCTATCTGCTCTAAAGCAGGGTTTCTGGAAGTACTTTTCAGCCATGGAAACTCAACATGTGAGAGAAAGCTTCTAAGTTAAAGATGGGGAAAGAGTCAAACTGCTTTTCTCTTTAATTCATTTACCAAAAAAGCAATTCTCTGCATGCTTAGTACATCCCAGGGAACATTCTGGGTACTGAGGACACCAAGTCCCTGTCCTCACCTTACATTCTACTGAAGAGAGACTGAGAGAGACTGGTACTGACTGGTATTGCGTAAGTAAGCAGAGGAATAAAATGATTTCTTTCTTTTCTTTTTGTTTCTTTCCTTTTTTTTGTAGTGTTGGGGACTGAACCCAAGCGTTTGCACTCAGCTACATCCCCGGCTTTTTTTTCTCATTTTGAGACAGTGTCTCACTAAATTGCCTCGGCTGGGCTCGAATTTGCAATGCTCCTCCCCGGCTTCTCAGAGTGCCAGGATGATAGGCACATCCACAAGACCCAGCTAAAATGATTTCTGACAACAGGAAACCTGTGCCTTTCACCAGGTGTGCGTGCACAGGCACACGCACACACACACAGTCACCTTGAACCCCACACCAACCCCACAAGTTGGGTGTACTATTATCTTCCACACTGAGGCACGGATTGCAGAGGAACAAGTGCTCTGAAAACTGTAAGTCAGGGTCACTCGGGGTTAGGAGGTCCGGGAAAGTCTCCTAAGTTTTGTGGGACAGAGACCTGAATGATAAAAAGTGGAAAGGTCTAGTGCAGTGATGGTGAAACTTTTAGAGAACTAGTGCCACACTGCAATCCAAACCCCACTTATTTATCTCAAAGTGCTAACGCTGCAATACTGAGGTTTTAGTTTAAGAAAAAAACCTCACAATTAGCATCTTTTGTCTTAAAAGAAAAACACAGTAATACGTGTGCCACAGGCTCCCCACCACTGGTCTCATGGAAGGCGATCACAGACACCGTACACTTGTTCTGTCTGAAGAAAGGAGAGCTGGCTGGCGTGGATAAAGGTCAGGCTATGCTGGAAAGAACGCTGCAGAAATGAACTTATCACGCTGGTCCAGGGGCAGGCTGCGGGGCAGCACACGTGCCAGCAGGGGCAAAATGTATCTTAGATGTGCCTGGAAGCCATTTAAAGGTTTTAAGCAGGTAAGAGACATAAAGTATATTGTGTTATCCAATATAGCAGCCACCAGCCCCAGATTTCGTGTGTGTGTGTGTGTGTGTGTGTGTGTGTGTGTGTGTGGTACTAAAGACCAACCCTAGGAGCACTCTACCACTGAGCTACATCCCTGGCACATTTTATTTTTTATTTTCAGACAGTGTCTTGCTAAGTCACCCTGGCTGGGGTCAAGTGTGCAATCCTCCTGACTCAGCTTCCCATGCAGCTCGATTGCAGATGTGTGCCAACACACGTGGCCACAGGTGCGCACTGAACACCTGAAATGATGCTGGTCCAAATTGAGATGTGCTGTAAAATACATCCTAGATTTTGAAGGCTTACAGAAAGAAAAAAAAAAAAAGGAATGAAAGAGAATCTCTAATAATTCTTAATTATATGTTAAAATTATAGTGTTTTGATGTGTTGAGTTCGGTAAGATATGCTACCCAATTAATTTTACATATTTCCTTTTCCTTTTAAAATACAGCTACTGTAAGTCCCCAACTTATGAACAGCTGAGCTGCAGACTCTCACAGGTGTACTGTATAAGACTCACTTTGTCAAATTATGAATGAATCTGCCTTATGAACATTCTTTCAGAACGGAACTCATTCGCAAGTCGGGGACTTACTGTTCTAAAATGTCTTCAATGGCCGCTGTAGCTCCCATCTGTGGTGCCTTTCATGTCTTACTGAGTGGCACTGACCGAGGTTACTGTGCCCTCCTGTGCTTTCTCCCCGTTTTCCAACCTCCCCTAACTTCCCACTGGTCTCACAGGAAGTGGTGTTGACTCAGGGCTGTACTTCTGGTGAGGGCATTTTAGAGACTAAATATACAGAGGACTGAGTGTGTAACAGGCCGAGTCTGTTACAACTGGATTGATATTTGGAATCACAATAGTCTTCGAGAAGTTGGCAGCTTAGCTCATAGGACCACATCCTATCCAATCCACTTTTCTTTTTCTTTTTTGAGACAGGGTCTCAGTATGCAATTGAGGCTGGCCTGGAACTCACTATGTAGCCCGAGCTGGCCTCAAACTTGCAGTGATCCTCCTGCCTCAGCCTTCCGAGTGCTGGGGTTACAGGTGTGTGCTACCATGCCCGGCTCACTTGCATTCATTAAAAACTGCTCTGTGACAGGTGGTGTCACTGTGCTTCCTTAAAATCCTAAATATATGCTCACTATAGGTCCAACTGTAAGAGTCATTTGCATGCATCCTATGCTGATAGCAACTTGTATCAGCTGTACTCGGACTCCTATTTGAAATATATCAGAGCAAATTCAATTGTCAGAAGCAGAACCATCCCAATTCTTTCCATGAAAGAAAAACAAGGTCAGGGACTATTCTTGAAATTACTGGTCAGTCCATTTGGATTTCCAACAAGAGTATTACTTATAAGATAATCTGAGGTTTTTCTGGACTAGTACTACTACAGGTTAAGGCCAGGAACTCACAGGGGCCTTGCATTTAAATCCACGCATTTGGGCAACACCACTGAGTCCCACACTTCTGATTCAGACTTCTTCGCCGGCCTCCCATCTGGCTTCACACACCTATCCTTGCTCACCTCCATTCCATTCTCCACACCTCCATAATCTTAAGGAGTGAACTTTTGAAATGGAAAATCAGACAAAGTCACTGCTATGCCTCTGCCACCATTCTGTGTGGCTTCACTCCTGGAACAGGATCTGGCTCTGCCGCCCTCTCCGGCTTCATCACACAGTCCCCCCTTGTGGCCTTGGGTGCAGTGACAGTCTCGAGTCCCGCAAACCCTCCCTACACTCTTATCTTAGGTGAAGTTACACCACAGGGGCTGCACAAGAAGTTCCTTCTGCTTATAATTTCCTGCCTCATTTTCACCTCGTCTAATTTAACTCCTAAGATGTTGCTTCCTTAAAATGACCTTTGACGGCCTCTCCCAGACCCTAGGCCAGGTTTAAAATGCTACATGGGTCTCAAGCTTGAGTCTGAGGGCAGCCTGAACCGCAAAGCGAGACCCATGGGCTTTGCCTTCACTGACAGCGCATGAGCTCCTTTGTCACTTTCGTCAGTGTCTGTCTTCCCGTAGGACTGCAGGCTCTGCAAGGTTAGTACTGTATCTGCCTTATTTCCCTTTTTAATGTATTCTAGCACCTTGACCAGGCCACGGAATTGCTCAATTGTCCTTAGATGTTGCAGAAGGGAGAACAGAGAACCACGTCTACCAAGAACCAGTCTTTGTGGGCTCTCCTACCTGCCGGCCATAGCTTTGTAGTAGGCAAAGATCTGGTCCGCCAGCTTGTAGACAAACTGATCAAAACACAGGTTCACCTGGTGAAGAGGAAGAGGAAATGTCAGTGATGTCTGTCTAGTTTTATCACAGAAACGTAAAGAGGGCGGTGGGCGAGACTGCGCAAAGTGTGTCCTACAGCAACGTTAACAGCTGCGAAAGAAAAAAAGCAAGGAAGGAGAGGCTGTGGCTCCATAAGTCTGATCACTTGCTCCCAAGGTCTTCTGTTACTCAACAGATAACACAAAGTCCTGGGCTGTCATGCAGCAGCCCGCGTATACAGCGGGCGCAGCAGCAAGCACCCACAGTCCCCTGCGGTGACTCCTGGCAGGCTGCTGACTCAGTAGCAGCAGCCTCACCTGCCTCATCTGTTTCTTTGCTGATAATCTTTGTTTTTTCCTTTCCTTTCATCTTATTTTACTTGACAAACTTAATCATGAAGACTCAGAAACGTAAAAGCTCCTTTCTTCAAACTTCTTGTTTTTAATGCATTCCAGTATTTCATCACAGCCAAGGTACAAGACGAGTTCAAAGCAGGCACAGAGCATCAAAACCACATCTTCCAATGGCAGCCGGGGCTAGAAAGGGCCAAAGTGGGACTTCAGAGGGACAGGGCTCTGGTGGCAGCAATACGCAAGGAGACATCCTACATAGCTGATTAATTTTTGGTTCCTATTCGATTCTCAGCTCTAGAAGGTCAACTCTTTGACAGCTTTCATCATCTTTTATTGGCTCCTCCTCCTATTATGCAGAAAACAAAAACACTATGCCTAGTGCTGCCTTCCTACCCCAGTAACTGAGGCCTCAGTCTGGACTTTGAGCTCCAAGGTCCCCAGCAGGTTCCACTCCAGGCAAAGAGGCTACAAGGCCAAAGTGGATGTTGACCTGGACCCAAGAGGCTCCCCTGCTAGAACCAGCTCTGAGAGCTCTGCCCAGATTTCTTGGGCCCCTTCCAGGGCCACATGGCCTCTTCTCTGGGTTCGCCGCTGAGGTTAAACTGCACTGAAGGGTATGAGCCCCAGGTCTTCGGCTTGCCTAAGGGTGAGGGTTTGCGGCGAAGGTGGGACAAAGCTTGGGTGTCTATATGCACACACAAGAAGCCCTTCACGGTACAGGAACAGTTTGCAGATGAGCAGAGAAAGAAAGCAGGCCACAAACTCTGTGTGTGTCTCAATTTGTACACGATTACATGTGGTAACCATGGTGACTAGGAAGATCACTCTTCCGAGTAAGTACATCACTAATCCCCCACTTTATGCTACTAGCTACAGATTTGCAAAGTTCAGCCTCTCAGGAAAGCGCTTCAGGAACAACAGCAGGATGACACTTGCCTCAGCTTCGATCTCATCGTACAGGAACTGCTTCTTAAACTTGGTCAGAGCGTAGTAGGCGCTGTCGTTGTACAGATCCAAGGGGTAGAGGACATACCTAAAGAGGAGACACCAGGGCTAGCAGCTTGCTAAGGCTCTCACTAAAGGCAGATTTACAGAGGATGAACGGAGTTAGGAGGGAGGAGCCCTCTGCACTCCCTGGGGTCCCCCAGTGCCTCTACACAGGAAGGACTCCCTCTACATCTGCCCAGGGAAATCCTAAGTCCAAATGCCAATGAAGTGAAGCCCTGAAAACACTGGCTTGGAACGAACAGAAATCAGGTGGCAGCTACGGATACTAGCTTCCTCATTCCCAGAGATGGTGATGAGCCTGGCTGCTATGAGCCTGAGTCAAGGGAAGACAGCTGGGCTAGGGAACTTCTGAGTCCATCTGGAAGGCTGAGGCCAACAACTGTGTCGACCTGGTCGTTGGCCTGAGCTTCCCCCTGGGGGGGCCACACTGCCTCACCGCTAGTCCACTCAGTGCTTTCTTCTGGAAAGAATGGAGCTTCCTGGAAAACCATGAGCTGGCCTTGCACCCCAAAGGACCGCCCTGTTCCCCAGTCCTGCCTCTTACTCCATCATGGAAGGCTCTTTGGTTTCCAGGATATGGTCCGTTAAAATCCAGGGCATGGACATCTCAATGGGAAACTGGATTCGCCGGCCCATGGTTAACTCCAGGAAGAATTCTCGGAACCAGAGCTGGGAGAGGTCGCAACACTGCTGCAGGGCTTCTGAAAACGGAAGGAAAGGGCCTTGGGTTACCCTAGAAAACTCTAAACTTCTTAGTTCCTGCTGTTTTTACTAACTAGTACCACTTTTAGCATCACTGTGCTAGGACCGTGGCAGGTGCCGCATCAACAGACACTGCCGTCTCCAGCTTGGAGGCTAGCTTAGCATCCACTGGAAAATGGCATTTGTTACACTTCACAGGTAGGGGCAGTGCCTGGGAGAGGGATAGGGACATTTTAGAACTCTGGGTCCCCCATCATTTCCACCAGCCTCCTACCGAGCCAACCTGAAAACGCACCCCAAGTTAAAAAGTATTCCCACTACGCCAATACTATTGTAACGGCATATGGGGTTGAGCCTCCCTCACCCCCTCCACGTGGCAATTCTGGATCCCTTACCATGTAGACGCCTTCAAAACCCTACCTGGGCCACTTTCTAATGAAGAACCACACACTGTTTGTTCAAATCACTCTCACGAACGTATTAAGATTCTCACGTCCCCGGGATGCCACGTTTTCCCTAACCTGTCCTATGCACCCCAAGAGGCAGAACAAGAAGAGAGAGCACAGAATTGGGGTGCAGCCTGGGGGTCTCTAGGCTAGGAACAGTGACACCAGTGAGCTAGTGGCCCACTCACGCTCGCTTAGCAGCAGAACTGTTCAGAGCTGGGGGTGTTCCTTCGCGGTGCCAGGCTTGCCGGCCCTGCGCACTGTGACAGTACGAACGTGCTTTGAGTTCCCTTTGAGTTCCCTTTCCTAAGGACTTTGCGATAAATGAACCACAAGTATCCACCAAACTGAGCTTTCAGAATGGCTGCACCGAACGTGGCCTTCTCAAGCTCCCAAAGTCCACCCAAAAGTGTTTTCACGTTTCTTTTCCTGCTTGGTGGTAGAATATGCCCCTGATCGGATTCGTGATCAGGTCTCTTTACAATTTCTAACCTGGCAGCCAGCTGCTTCAAGGACCGGGAGCGCCACAGTCCCCCCACCCGGCCCAGGTGCCGCAGCTTACCGCTGATATTGAGCAGGTGCGTGAAGAAGAAAGACTGCTTGTGGAAGTCCTCAATGGCGAGGACGATGGGTCCATCCAGGCTGCTTCTCAGGGTCTTCTTGGAGCCGCTTTTGTCTGCGATGAGTGACTCAAGCATGGTGCGTACCATGTAGAGCTTGAAAGAGAAGGTGAGACAGGGTTAGGGGCTGGACCTCCATCCTGAGAGGGAAGCTGCTTTATGCTGTATTTCTTTTCTGCTCTTAAAAGAACGGTCTTAAGGAAGCACCAGTTTACATGGAGAAGCAAATTTGGAGCTGTGAAAATTTTTGTTTTCTTTTGCAGTGCTGGGAATCAAACCCAGGGCTTCACGCATGCTAGGCCAGCGTTTTACCACTGAGCCACATGTCCAGCCCTTGGAGACAGGCCGTCCTGGGAAGGAGAGGCCCCACGACATCCCTGTATAGTTCAAGAAAGCCCAGGAAGAGGTTCCTGCCTGCCCTGCTCAGCCAAGGGCATGGGCATTGGAGGAGAACCTCATTCCACGTTCTAAAGTCACTGCTGCTTTCCCAGATAGCCATGGCAGCATCCTGGGTGGAGCACTGGACTGGGACGCAAAAGACCCAGGTTCAAGGCCAGGTACTGCCACTGACTTGCTGTGTGACCTTAGGTGCCAAAGTCCCCACTCTGGGCTTCAGTTGTCTTACCTAACAAGGGGGGCGGGGACTAGATGCTTTCTCATACCAGATCCTTTCAGCTCTAACATTCTGAGGACTGCACAATGGGTAAGATCAGAATACTGTAACTCCCCCCAACCACCTTAGGTTTCTGATCCTCAACGTTTTGAATCCATGAGCGATGGTGCCCTCTGGTGGCCTGGGCTGCATGCACAGCCTGGCCGAGAATCTGGGTGGACCATGGGTTAATATAGGTACTTACACCAGAGGCTACTAGACAGCTACTCCTATTATACAGAGCCCTACATGCGAAGGGCACAAGAGCAGTGGGGTTGCTCTCTCTGCTAATCTAGATCTTTCCACGTCATTTGTCTGCATGTTAGGGCTGCAGGGAGCCTGAAGGAGCCGGGCTGGTCCGTGCCCAGGGCCTCCTGGAGAAAGGTACCCAGACCAACCCAGCCAGGCGGAGTGATACCAGGGATCGGCAGCCTCTTCGGCCCTGTGTGCCACCAGTGGGGTGAAACAAAGCCCTCGGGGACCACTGGCAGGCCTAAGACATAGGTAGGAGAGAAGGAAGAGGGAATGGGAGGGCAGGAGAGACAGGGAAGAGGGAGAGAGAGAAAGAGAGAGAGAGAGAAAAGCGAGAGGTATTGTATACGGTGGGAAAGCCATCGCGACTGCTAGGGCCACTTCCGAGACGGTCCAACCTCCCAACATCCATGCTCCTCTCTGGACCTGGCCTGGGTCTCCCGCCACTGCCTGGCATTGAGTGGGCCTGACAGCCACTGGACCCTGTGACTGCCACCCTGAGCCGGGCTTCCCTTTACAGGGAGGACAAGCGTGACAGACAGTCCACCACCTGCGACCCTGGTGCCCACCAGGTCTCTCTGGCCCCAACACCGAGACACACTTTCTAATGCCGGCCTTCAGTGTCCTCAAAGGATTCCCTGTGTCTCATCTGCTGTAACCGCTGACTATCACCTAGTTCTAACTACAGGAAAACTGGTTTGTCCAGAGGAGGGGCTGTTCTTTTCCCACCTACTCAGAGCACTGAATTCGCTGGACAGGCTCTGGGAGGAGCCCACGCCCCTTGTGCTCTGAGGGCCACCGAACAGCCCTGGGGCAGGAGTCAGGAGACCTGGGTGCTTGTCCCACCTCTACCTGGGACTCGCCTTGTGACTTGGACAAGTCACTTCTGCTTTCTGGACCTCAGTTTCCCCACCTATGAGTTAGGGGAGGCGATGTTTATCTCCTAGGGCTCTTCCGGTCCTGGATGTCTAGGGGTGCATTAAGGATGTCTATGTTACCCACATGCCTGCTGGATCTGGGCTGAAGGTCTGTGACCTGCCACTCTATTACCCACACCAGTGCCCCCTCCCTCCATGGCTGCGCCCCACACACAGTGCCTCTGGTCCCCTCTCATCTTCGCTCCTGTCTCAGGTCACACAGAAGCACCCGGAGGCCCCGCCCAGCGGCACCAGGGCTCTGACCCTCCATGCTGCACAAGAAGCTTCCGTGGGACACATCTTGCCACTGGCAGAGGACATGCAGGACGTGAAGTCAAGGAAAGCTACGATGACCCTGCAAAGATCTCACTCTGCCCAGCCCCAGCCCCAGCCCCTGCCAGACAAGGACACACACACAGGGGAGGGTTCAGGAGGAGTCAGACGACCAAGCTCAGAGGCCTCAGAGCAGAGGCTCATGGGTCTGTGCAGTGGGGTTCCCAGACTGGGCCTTCCAGAGCGGGAGACCTTCAAACCTGCAATGAGATCAGTCTGCTTTCTTTTAGTACAGAAAAAGGCAGACTGGGAACTACTTATCCTTGTGTAGGTGGCAAGAATTTAACCCCACCCCTCAGTGTATTTGCTTTCCCTTTTCCCCTTGTAATTTTCTGACCGCTTTACCCAAGTCACAGGCTACTTTTTAATGTGCAGAAACACCAGTTGGCAACTCTGAGTACTTCCCACCACTAGCCTTTCCCTGTGAGGTCAAGGGCACTCTATACGGGTGGTTCTGGGAGATGTTAGAGTAAAAAAGGCAGTGTTTTGTTAGTAACATGAGCTCATTCCACAGTTTCATTTTTCTGAGAGGATAGTCAGGGTCAGACAGTTCAAGGTGCCGCCCAAGGTCACACAGCCCGTTGGAGGTAGAACTTGCAGATTTCCATGCTAGGGTGCCACTGCAGAAGGCAGCGGGGTTTATTTAAAAGGGACAGGGTAGCTGCATACAGATTCTACCTTAAACTCCTTTTGCACTTTGGAATCTGATTTTAGGGGCTAGGAGGTACTGGACCAGGTCAACGTAATATTACCCCTACTGGTCAGAATAGACAACTGAGGCACAGAGAGATCGTGTAACATGCCCAAGGTCACACAGGTGTCTAGGACGAGAATCCAGGTCTCCTGAATCTTAGGCCAGTGGTCTTTCTTCCTATATCATGACAAGGTGTCAGAAGAAGGCCAGAGCAGCTGTTCCACCCTGCGCCCCCGATCAGTGAGCCCCAGTCCTGCTGCCCTGTGGTCCAGCCATGATGACCGCGCGAGACCCAGCTGGCCTGAGAGTCAAAGCAGCCGGCCTGAGCCTGGAGCTGCTTACCTGGGTGCTGGATGGCCCCACGGCACGCCGGGGCACCTTGATGTCAAAGCCACCTTTGGGGTCCTTCTCTCCTCTCAAGCACGGGTCATTGGGGGGCTCCCGGCCCCCCTCCCAGTCACAGATGGTCTTCCGAATGGCCTGCAGGACACTGTGGAGGGACAACTGAGACTCAGGCCAGCTCTTGACCCCGGAAGGAGGCTCTGCAAGTGTCCCAGGACCTGCCTCAGAACTCCTGGGGTTTCTGTGGTGCACACCCATTTCTGGTCCCATCCCAGAGACGCTGATTTAACAGTCAAGGTGCAGTCAGGAATCTGACATCTCAGTGAGTATCTTGCATACTTCTGGGGCCCACTTCATGTTTTAAAGTTCAGATCCAGGCCATACAAATGCATAGGACTAGAGGGAGGCAGGAGGTGATTTTCCCTTTTGGGGTATAGAGCAGTCTCATTAATCCAATTAAATATAGGTTTATTTAAAGTTTTAATAGTTTAGCCTTGGTGCCGACTTCTTCTGCACTGCCAAATACATAGATCTACGTGTGGATTATCATATTTTGTTCTCCTATACCCATGGGGACAATAGCTATGAAGTAGGTAACATCATCCCCATTTTACAAATGAAGATGACTGAGGTTTGGAGAAGTAATGTGACCACATTCCCAAAGCTATTAACACTGTGGTGAATCTGACTTTAAACTCCGAGACTGAGGCTTAACTCACCGCAAATGTTCAGTCTCTTCAGAAGGCCTACTAGAACTTGCTGGATAGGTTTGATTACATTTAGAGATTAACCAGGTAAAAGACTGAGCCAAGAGCTTCCTCTCTCACCTGTGCCTAGCACCCCTTATTTCTGATGTTCCCCTGAAGAGGGCCATCTAAAATCCCACCTGATGAGGACGTTCTTCTTCTTGCGTACTGCCTGTCTCAGGGGCTCCCGCAGGGTCACCTGGGCAAAGTCCTGCAAGGCTGCGTAGATGGTATTCCGGATGGCTTGGTTGAAGACGCTCTCCATCCTGCCCATGAGCACCTGCAGGCCCTTGATCATGGCGATCACCTGGCCGGACAGAGATCTGGGGTCAGGTTCACCATGCCTCCATACACCAGCTTGTCCACCACGCTTCAACCACACTGCAGGAGTGTGAGAGATATTCAGGAACACCAAGCCAACCCCATTCAAAGTGCAGGTTGGTGACCAGGTAAAAAATGCACACCGAAGCCGGGCATGGTGGCACACACCTGTAATCCCAGGTGTACTGTACTCAACAGTGGTGCCTGAATGATTTGATAACCATATGCAAACGAAGTTGGAAGCCTACTCTATATCATGTAGCAAATTATCTCAAAATGGATCAAAGACCTAAACGTAAGAAGTAAAACTACAAAACTCTTAGAAGGAAATGTGTGTACACTTGTGCCCTTGGGTTTTGTCTGTTTTCAAATTGACAAAAGAAAAGCAAACTGGACGTCTGGATATGAAAATTTAAAACTTCTATGCTTTCAGAGATACCATCCAGAAAGTAAAAAGACAAACTATGCATGGGAAAATAATTTCAGTGATATAGGTACTTGATAAGGGACTTATATCTGGAACATATAAAAACTCTTACAACTCAACTCAACAACAGGACAAAACCCCAATTAGCCATTGTGTGGTGGTACATTCCTGTAATCTCAGCACTCAGAGGGTAAGACACAGAAAGATCAGAAACTTAAGCCTAGACTGGGAAATTTAGCAATTTAGACTATATATCCAAAAAAAAAAAGGTGACTTCCAGGAAGATGGGAGAGTAGTGAACAGCAGAGAAATAGCCTCTCCCAAGATTTGGTGTTCAGATGCTGGAATATACCCATGCAAGGAAGAGAAGGAGGACAGCAAGAAGAGAAGCGGATCAGCAAGAATCTGAAGCAAGAACTGAAGACCATGGGGAGAACAAAGACAGAACTCAATGCAGAAGAAAATGGCAGTGGGGAGTGCCACAGAACCAGGGGCTGGTGCAAAGAAGAAGCTACTTCCCACGCCCAATAAATTGAAGAAATAGGATCGTGCAACATACTCAAAACACCAAAGCCAGCAACACCTAGAGGATATCTCTGAGTAGTCATTTCCTAAGGCTTCTCTATACTAGCAATAAAGCCACCTGCCATAAGCAATTTACAAGCATTAATTCAGGAATTAAAATTTAAAAATAAAAAAGAGAAGACACAGAAGCAAGATACAGTACCAGATTTCAAGCTCACCAAAGGCAAACCAGGGGGCCGTTAGGCAGAACAATTTGAAAGCTACCCACACAAAGTCTCCGAAGTGGTAACAGCAGAAGTAATAAAACAGATGAATGAGGCTCTAGAAAAAAAAAAAATCAAACCAGAAATAATCTCTCAGATAACTATAGAGATGGTGACCATAATGAAAGACATGGTTAGAGACTCTACAGCAGATATAGATTTAAAAAAAAATAGAGGAGCTTAGGAAGATGAAAGAAACCATCAACACCCAATATAGGAAAGGAAATCCATGAAACAGATATCCAGGAGAGTAAGAATTCCATTGAAAGTACATGCAGCAGAATAAACCAATGTGAGGCCAGAATATCAGATATGGAAGACAGGACTATGGCTAGCAATCACAAAAAGAAAGATTTCTCAAAAATAGCATGGGACTATGAAAAATCAACCCAACAGCTGCTAGACGATGCAAAGAAGAATAATATAAGATTTATCAGAGCCAACAAAAAAATGAGATAGTGCAAACAAATTTAGAAACCTATTCACAAAGGTAATGGTAGAAAACTACACAAGCATGGAAAAAGAAGTTGACACACATGCAAGTGAGGCATATAGAACTCAATTAGTCACGATCAAAAAAGTCTATACCAAGGCATATAATAGTCTAGGTTCCAAAAATTCACTACATGGACAGAATATTAAAAGCTTTTAGAGAAAAGAAATAAATCACCAATAAAAGAAAGCTCATTAGAATTACAGCAGACTTTTCAACACAAACCCTCAAGTCAAGGAAAGTTTAGAGTGTAGTATTTTAAGCCCTAAAAGAAAACAACCTCCAATCCAGATTAACACATCCTGCAAAACTATCTTCAAAACTGATGGAGAAGTAAGATACTTCCATGACAAAGAACACCTGAAGAAATTCATGACCACCAGAACAGGACTCCAATATGTTCTGAAGGACATTCTAGGACTAAAGCTCCATGAACCCCAACAGAATGAATACATTAGGCAAGACAAGTAGTTAAATAGAAAGGAGGGGGAAAAAAGGGAACCAACAACGGAAAAATAACATGTCAGGGATAAGTCAATACATATCAGTTACAACCATCAATGTAAATGGTCTCAATTCACCAATCAAAAGAAACAGACTGACAGAATGGATCAAGATGCAAGAACCAACAATATACCACATACAAGAAACATATTTTATTTAAAAAGAAATTCATAGAGTGAAAATCAAATGGCAGAAAACAATACTCTATGTGACAGAGATCTGGAAAAAATCAGCGGCAGCTATTCTATTTGCAGACAAAGTGAACTTCAAGCCAAGACTAGTCAAAAGACACAAAGAAGTTCATTATATACTTGATAAGGAAAAACTCCAAGAGGAAGAGATAACAATCATAAAGATATATGCACCAAATGCACCAAATATATGCACCAAATACCAAGCATACTCTACTATTAACAGACACACACACACAAAATCAAATAAGCACTAATACAACTATAATGTGGACCTCAATACCCCACCGTCACAAACAGATCAACTAGATGAAAAACCAACAAAGAAATATCAGAACTGAACCAAACTTTTGAACAAATGGACTTAGTAGATGTATACAGTGTTCTACCCCACGACATCAAAATACACATTCTTCTAAGTAGCACAGGGCATGTTTTTGCAAACAGACCACTGTATACTAGCTCATAGCACATGCTTAAATAATGCAAGGAACTGAAATTATCCCATGCATATTATCAGATCATAGTGCAATGAAGTTGGAAATCAATGGCAAAAGAAACCACAAAAACTTCATAAACATGGAAATTAAATAACACATTTCTGAATAATCAGTGGGTCACAGATGAAATCAAAGAAGAAATTAAGACAGTTTCTACAATTAAATGATAATGCCAACACAACATACCAGAATTTATGGGATCCAATGAAAGCAGCCCTATGAGGGAAAGTTATAGTGGTAAATTTTCTTATATCAGAAAAACAGAGTAAGCTCAAATAAACAACCTCATGTTGAACCTCAAACTTCTAGAAAAAGATGAGGAAGTCAAGTCCAAAGCTCATATGAGGGAGGCAATTATAAAGATCAGAGCAAAAATTAATGCAATGGAAACTAAAAAAGCAATACAAAGAATTAATGAATCAAAGAGTTGATTGTTTGAAAGATTAAATAAAACTGACAAACCCTTAGCCAAGCTTATCATAAAAAGGAAAGAAAAGCCTCAAATCCATGCAATTAAGAATGAAAAGGACGAAATCACAACAGACCCTGCAGAAATCCAGAAGATCATCAATGCCTACTTCAAGAAACTGTATTCTCAGAAGATGAAAACCCAGAAGAAATGGAGAGATTCCTAGATACATATGAATTACCAGAGCCAAATGAAGAACACATAAAAATTCTAAATAAACCAGTATCGGTCAATGAAATTAAAGGTGTAATTAAACACTGATCAACAAAGAAAAGTCCACACTCTGACAAATTCACTGCTGAATTCCACAAGAAATTTAGAGAAGAACTAATGCTGTTACTTTTCAAACTCTAACAAAATCGAAAGGGAAGCAACACTCCAAAATTCATTCCTGCATGACAGCAAAACCAAAGAAGATCCAACCCAAAAGAGAAATACAGGCCAATCTCCCCAGTGAACATAAACACAAAAATCCTCAGTAAGATTCTGGCAACTGGAATGCAGCAAATCATCAAGATTATAAACCATAACAAAGAAGAATTCATCCTAAAGATGTAGGGACGGTTCAACATGCACTAATCAATAAACATAATGTATCATATTAAGAGATCCAAGGAAAAAGAACCATATAATCCTCTCAACAGATATAGAAAAAGCATTTGGCAAAGTCCAACAAGCACTCATGATAAAAACCCTACAAATATTAGAATAGATGGTCTGTACATCAATCCGATAAAAAGCCAATCTATGATAAACAGCTAACATTATACTAAATGACAAAAACTGAAAGCTTTCTTTTAAAATCAGAAACAAGACAAAGTTATCCACTATCACTACTCTTATTCAATATAGTTCTAAAAACATTAGCCAGAGGAATTAGACAAAACAGTAATGAAAGGAATAAGGATAGTCAATGAAGAAATTAATTTTTCATTATTTATGGATGACATGATACTCTACATAGAAGACCCCCAAAACTCCACCAAAAGACTTCTAGATTTAATAACCAAGTTCAATAGTGTTATGGATTGTGTCTGGATGACGCCCCTCCCCAAAACACTCATGTGGTGATAAAGGGTGGGCTTTTCAAAAGTGGCTGAATGTAGCATTTGTGATTGATTCATGACCCAATGCTGGGATTACAGGTGTGAGTGCTACACCCATTCTAAGGTAGGTAGCCTGCATACACTCTAAAGGACAAAAAAGAGTCTTTTCTCTCACTCTCTCTCACTTCTTGCTTCTATTCTTTTCCACCACCATGAACTGTTGCCGCTCTGCCATGTGCCACACTGCCTTGAAGCCAGCTGATTATGGACTGAAACCTTTATAAGCTATGAGCTAAATAAACCTTTTCTCCTTTAACTGGGCTTTGGGTATTTTGTCTGAACAAGGAGAGAAAAATAACCAAGACAAATAGCATAGCTGGCTACAAAGTCAACACTCAAAAATCAATAGCATTTGAGTACACAAATAACACACTGACTGAAAGAGAAATTAGAGAAATACCTTTCACAATAGATACCAAAAAAAAAGAAAACATAGGAATCAACCTAACGAAGAATGTAAAAGACCTTTACATTGGAAACTCAGTGCTCTGAAAAAGGAAATCAAAGA